TCTATATTTAAAAAATTAATGAAGCGGATGATTTTTTTCCTGATCAATTTTTAGAAACGAACATCACCAACACATTATAAATAGCTCTTGGAACGCTTTTTTAAAGAAGCTTTAACAGTTATATGATGGATTTTTCCAAGATGAAATTACTGAAATACTTAGATTGAAACAACGCAGAATTGTTAATATACACTGAAGGCCGCTTTAAAGTATTTTTAAATAGCACTCACTTTCAAAATTTCCCTGGAACGTAATATTGATATGCATAGTATTACAACCCAAAACTTCATTCTAATTTCGTTCAATCAATCAACCCCTATTGCTTCAAAATTAATACAAATAAACATGATCTTTTCTCTGTAACTTCTCAATAATACATATAAATATAAATACACCTCTTTTGATAATCTTATTATTAAACAAATTTTTAATTTTTGTGTAATACAGACAAAATAGTGTTGAACATAATGATAAGCAGTTTTTTCTTATTATTATCATCAGCATATTTTTGTGATATTTAAAAAAAACTTCAATTAAAGACCAGCTTAGCTTCCAGTGTAAGTTCTGTAAAAATGTCCAAGACATCAAAGTCTTAAAGTAAAGTCTTCAAAAAATACATATAAATTTTCATTTAACCAGGATTTTAATAACACAAATTCAACCTAAAGTTGAAGCATTCTTCAACATTTTGTTCATTAACTTCTGTAGTTGTTCGTTTTTTTTCTACAATAACAGTATGATAAACTAATTAATCAGCTAAACACAAATTAAATTAATTCTGCACTTAAAGCTGCATGCTTCCACATTAATTTGGTAGTACATATACCCAGAATGTTGCTAGAAGAAAAAACAAAGAAAAATCACACTAACATACACAAAAACCCTAAAACAATGAGCTAATCAGTTGAATATTGATAATTCAATATAAACAGACATCGCCACAGATTTGAGCAAGTGTTTATCTATAAAAGGGCGGCATACAGGTGGGATAAAATGATCTCAAAATTACCTTATCTATTTATACATGCATTCATTTAAGATATAATGAAAGCTTAGGAAATGTTCTTTTCATAAACTAGCCAGTACTGAACCCATTACCCCTTGGTTGACATGCAGACACCTTAGTCATAAGATCATCCTTCCCTTTTTACATTTAACAGATGAAAGGCAAAACAACCCACTACCAATTGTATCTGTATAATCTGTGTTCATCCAAATAAACATACACAAGAAGCGCTGCAATGCGATGAAAACCTTGATCACAGACACCTGGGTAGCAATTCCAAGCTGCCTCTTGATATAACCTATCCATACACCAAGTTTGGTGTCAATAGGCCAAAGCAAACTCCCGTTATTGAGCAGAGACTGAATTTCTTTTTTTAGTAACAGTGACCTTGATCACAGACACCTGGGTAGCAATCCCAAGCTGCCTCTTGATATAAGCTATCCATACACCAAGTTTGGTGTGAATAGTCCAAAGCAAACTCAAGTTATTGAGCGAAAACTGAATTTCTATTTTTAGTAACAGTGACCTTGATCACAGACACCTGGGTAGCATACCCAAGCTGCCTCTTGATATAAGCTATCTACACATCAAGTTTGGTGTCAATAGGCCAAAGCAAACTCATGTTATTGAGCGGAAACCAAAAGTCGACACCCGCCCGCCCGTCCGCCGACTTCAGCATTACAATAACCCGGTTTTCGTTGAAAACCTTGTTAATAAGTAAAGTTATGGACAGAATATACTTATTCTTAATCATCAGACAGAATTTTATGAGCTAATGTACCAGTACAACATCCCATCCCCTAAGTGTATGAGTCATTTGCTTTCAGAAATTAATTTTTTTAGTTAATCATTTTCTTACAATATTAAAAATTATGTAATATGGAAGGAAAAGAAAGAAACACTGGCTAACAGTTACCCTGTACATTATTTCCCATAGCAAGTGTAGATTCTTACATTTAGTTTGAGTCGCTTACTATGACACTAATGATAACAATACTATAGTTATCTGGAGCCAACTCACTATAAAAAAGTATAAAAAAATCTGCTTTCACCCTGTGTTCATAACATACTTTTAAGTCAATTAACCCTGTCATTTACAACTTTTTTCACTTTCTTGCCTCATAAAAACAAAAGAAAAATGCTCACACCCAGGTACAGTTTTTCATAAAACTTCTTAATCATAAATAAATTAATGTAATGCAAATAAGTTTTCAAAACTTTTATATATAAAATATAAAAGAAAATCTTTAATCACAGTTTTCCTGCTTTGGCTATTACATGTATTACAGTTTTTCTGCTTTGGCTTAAAAAAAACCAACTATTACACTCTACATGCTTTGCAGGTTTTCAGAGTATCTCTTTTTTGTAGGAATATTTATAAATCTGTGAGAATGAAAACCTTTCCATGCTAGCAGAGAAAATCACTAGCATATGCCACAAGGATAAAGTCAGACTAGCCTGCCCACTAGTTTTTAGTTTAAAGTTGCTATTTAGTGTATGACAGAATACATATTCACATACAAGACTAGAAAAATAGTTCATCCAGCAAACCTGAATTTAAGATAGTTTAACAATAGTTATAGTGTTTAATAATCAAATAATAAACCAAACTGATTCACTAACATTTCATTGTATCCACTAACCAGTATATTGTAAAAATTCAATCACATTACAATGTAGCATATTTCTACTAAACAAAGTGGAATAAGTACAGACATACAAAACAGATAAAACAATGCTTTGCTTCAGATTAAAAATCTGATATAGATCTAATTCAGCCAAAAAATAAATAAATTATGGCAATACACCAAATTTATGGCAACATGAGAAAATAAAAGCAATTATGAATAACTACTTAGTTGAAAAAACAAAATTATAACAAGAGGGCCATGATGGTCCTAAAATCGCTCACCAGCTCTACATTACAAGGAACAAGTAATATTGTTAACTATAAACAAAAGCAGATCTGATATCTAAATCTTAAACTAATATCATAAAGTTCATATTTGTATCTAAAATAGTGCATGCGTAAAGACATTATTGGTTGTTATTGCTAAGCAAAAGAGGAGTGCATATGACCCCCTGTTTATTTGAACAAACTTGGTAGACACTAGCAAGAAGACGCTTCATGCTTAATACCTCTTTGGGTTTTCTTAAAAGAAGAGTTTTTTTTAAAAGTTTTTACTATATACATAAGGAAAATTAATGACACCATAGGGCTTGGCCAATTTTGACCCTTGGGCTTTTATTTTTTTAAAAAATGGTAGGCACTCACAAGAATATAGTTCATGCTAAATATCTAAGCTCTAGCTCTTTGGGTATTTTAAAAGACGATTTTGTTTTGTTTTTACTGTACGCATATAATGAAAATCAATTACCCCCCCCCCCCCCCCCGAGGTGGGGCCAATTTTGACAATGCTTTTATTTGAACAAACTTGGTAGAAAACACACTAGAATTTCATGCTTAATATGTAAGCAAAAGCTCTTTGGGTTTTAAAAAAAAGAAAAAAAAAAAGATTCTTTTTGTTTTTACTATAAACATATAATGACATCCTTGGTAGATAATGACTAGACGATTTTACATGCTAAATATTTAAGCTCTAGCTCTTTTGGTTTTTTTTAAAGAAGATTTTTTAAGTTTTTTTCTTTTGGTTGCCATGGCAACCAGAGTTCTGCATGGAATTAAATTCTTTGAAATTTTTTTAAAGCAAACTACCAAAGGAACATTCCTGTGAAGTTTGGCTGAAATTGGCTTTGCAGTTTATGAGGAAATGTTGTTTAAAGTAAAAGTTTACCGACGGAGGATGGATGGAAGAAAAGTGATCACAAAAGCTCACCATGTCACTTTGTGACAGGTGAGCTGAAAACATTAAGAGATAAAATTATTTATAGTATTAGATAACAGCAAATCACACAAAGACACTACAGTCTTTTACATAATACTACATATTTGTAAAATCGCTTCTCATAAGATATAGTTTTATATACACAGTAACTGTTATACCTCCTTAATGACATAGCCTAATGTGAAATCACATAGGGTTATTTCGAAATGAATATCATTTGATCAATAATTTTTTGCACTATTCCCCAGGGATGAGCAATATATAATGTTATTTTTATAGAAGCAGTTAGATTGCCAGTCAGTCAGCCAATTAGCATACAACTGTAAAACACTGGAAAGGTCCATTGCTAATTTAACTAGAAATTAATAGCTTATTTAAATAGAGATTGATTCCTAATTAAAATAGAATTAAATTCCTGAATGAATCATCTGCCTAGAAAACATGGTTATTTAATTTCCACTAACATGTCTTTTTAACTTCGATTAAAGCATTAAAAAGAATTTGTTCAAGTTGCAGACTTCATTGTTTAAGTGCTGAAAATGCATCTCTAAACAAAACCAGACTTTTTTCTATCCAAAGGATTTCCCTAGATAACTACACATGCAAATAATATTTCTTTAGCCTAAATTCAGTCAATGGCCCAGAGAACAAATGTTTTTTTCTTTTGCCTCAATCAACAGCCATTGGCCAAGAAAGTGCAACATGTATGATGCTAGGAAAGTCATGTAGAAAGAATTAATCTATAATATAATAATACAAGGCTGAGCACAAAGGTTCACAATTAGTCTAACATGGCAAATAAATTTTGTCAAATTAAGTTTGTAGCATAAAATGTTACAACTTATATTTGTCAAAGTAACCTAGATTTGGATATATTTCTGTCACAGATCAAAAATATTATAATTCAATTTACCGGTCTTAAATTTTTTTTGTTAATTTCTTTAAATATCATAAAATTTACAACAGTTCTCCTTTACCTAATTAGGAAAAAAAACCTTTTTTTTGGTGTGAATAATGAAAAGCAACTTTTCTTCATTTTTTTAAATTTTTTAAAATTAACCAAAGGACTTAGTGTAAACTAATCAATCAAAAATTTTGATAAATATAGAAAATTGTTATTTGAAAAAATATTCCAGATCATGAAGTAAAAACATATTCATGAAATAAAAGTGTATCCTTTAAAAAATAAAATAACGATGGGATAGGAACTAAAAAGATATCAAAATCAATCTTCTTTTGAAATTCTTTGGATTTCTTAAACAACATCTTTAACAATAAAAACCTTTTAAAATATAATTTAAAGTTTTTTTTTGTCTCTCATTTTTCTCAAAACATGAGTTTTATCTCAATAAAACTACTTATATATGCAATTGAGGTGGATTTTCAAATCCTAACAAGCATATGAATGGTCAACATCACTTTTTATGTATCAGCTTTTACTGTTTCAGCAATCACTGATTTTTTTCAGCTCAATTATAAATAATAGAGCATACAGGTTTAAAAAGGTTACGAGCCCCAGAGGGTTCAAAACCATAATTCCCATGGTTGAGAGGTACACACTTTTACTGCTAGAGATGCATGCAGCATCACTAAAATGCTGCCCTACTATCAGCTATCATTCTTTCAAGTAAGTTTTTCCAGCTTTCTTTTAATTACGTGTACATCAAGATATGACAAACTACTTCACAAGAACAAGACATATTTTATCTTTTCAAATTATACTAAAGGTATCTATGTAATCTTTAAAATTTCATTAAAGTGACATTATGCTCATATTTTCATAGTCAAGTTGAGCTGAATGGACTTTTTATTTCAAAAGATTAACTGTTTAAATGGTGTTTGACGAACAGTTTATTTTGGAAAATGTTTAGGATAAAATTCAAAATCTGCCTATAATATAAAAAGACTGCCCCACTCTTTCATGTTTCAGGTAAGTTCTAAGCGATATTTACAAAAATTCCGTTTCGATCCAGGGTTGTTTTATTGTTTATATGCAGTAAATTATTAAATTAAAAGGAATTATGGCTATATAAAAACTTATTTTGACTTTCACCTGTTCACTCACTGAATACCCTTGAATTAGCATAATGTCACTTTAATCTTTGTCAACTCAATAATTGTAAGTATTGCCATAAAACAGAGTACACAATAAGATTATTGAGTTTTTCACTTCTAATGAAATTCGTAGTTACAGCCAAGCAGTATAATGTGTGCAGTAAAAGAAAAGAAGAGGTTTCAACAGCCCAGCTGGGTCTTTAGCGTAGCAGAAAATAAAAGTATATCAAACAATAAAATATTAAACCACATTGTGACTGAATCAAAAATTATTTGAAGATTTGTAAGTAAGATCTTCAATCTATGTTTTACATCTTTTTATCTTATCAAAAAGGGAGAAAAAACTGCATTTTTGTTGTAACAATATCAAAGAAAATCAATGTATCGCTGAAACAGTAAAAGTGAGAGAAAAAAAAACAGGAAGAAAGTAGGAGAAAATTTCTTCTTGCAGCAGTAAACATCTTAAAGACATCCAAATTTCATTTGTTATAAAAAAAATTTATCTTTTGTTACTTATAATTTTGAATCTACTATTTGCATAGGTATTGTCTGTTCTATGTCCTCATCTGTATAATGGGTGCTGACAAGAGATTTCAATTTCTTCATGAACTGAAATACAAAAAAGTGGACTATTAAGAAATTTGACAATATAATTATTATACAAAAAAGGAATATTCAGAAATATAACAGCATAATTATTTGTAATCCATATGCTCTTATGTTTGAACAAGTACTCCCAAAAGGGCCATCAATTGGGCCCTTATAAAGCACTTACCTGTTTATAAGTGCTCTAAATAACAAGGAACATTTTATATTGTTTATGAAAGAAAACCAATTATAATGTAAAATCACAATGTTCATATCTGTATTTGAAAAAGTGCATATGTAAACACGTTTTTTTTGCAAAATTTAGGCTGTGTTACCTAGTTTTTTTAACCCCAAGTGATCCTTACATTTATAGTGTTAACAAGGTATTTCCATATTTGGGCTCTGTGGTCTAGTTTTTGACCCCAGATGACCTATATTAATATTGAGCTAGAAACAACACAACAACTTTTCAAACAAATTTCCAAGATACTTGCGCTAAAAATATTGCCTCTAGACTGTAACCTGCCAATAGGTTTTTCCATAATATATTTGGAATGAAATTAGCACCTCCTGGGTGTTAACAGGGCTTTTCCTACTTTAGGTTTTCACCCCTGTAGAATCATACTCACTCTTGAGCTACACATCACCTAAACAACCTTTTTGACCAATTTTCAGGATATCTGGGCTGAAAAATGTTACCTCTAGAGTATTTACAATGTGTTTGCATATATGGGCTTTGTGACCTATTTTTTGACCCCAGATGACCAAGACAAGATCATGAGCTAGAAATCATCCTAAAAAGTATTTTCCTATACAAGTCTTATGTAAACTAAGTGACCTCTGGGTGGAGCCAATTTTTAACCAAGGGCTATAATTTGAAGAAAATTGGTAGAGGTCCATTGGACAATGTTTCATATCAAATATCTAAGCTAAAACCTCTAAAATGTAATACAAGAAGATTTATTTTTTCATCAACATATCAGGTGTAATACAAGAAGATTTTTTTTTCATCAACATAATATTATTAGGCAATTCAATGACCTCCTGGGGCGGGCTAATTTTGACTGCAGGGCTTTTCAATCTGGTGCTAGGGGGCCTGAGGGATGTTACACTTTTGCATTATTCCTCGTGTACTGACTCAAATGAACCATGTCTGCAATTTTCATGTAACTTTGCTGTTTTTGTTGCTTCAGAGAGATCCTTTTTTTCCAGATATTTATACTATTTGAACAAACTTGGTAGATACACACTATAAGATGTTTCATACTAAATATCTAAGCTCTTATGGGGTGTCCGTGGCCGAGTGGTTAAGGTCGTTGATTTCAAACCACTTGCTTCCTCACCGCTGTGGGTTCGAATCCCGACGTAAAATCCAAAACAAGAGGGCCATGATGGCCCTACAAGAGGGCCATGATGGCCCTGAGGTCGCTCACCTGTATATAGCCCCCCCTCCCCCCTGGGCCAATTTTTACCCAAGGGCTTTTATTTGTTTATTTGAACAGACTTGTAGACACCCATAAGAAAGATGTTTCAATTGCTAAACATCTAAGTTCTAGCTCATTGGGTTTTTTAAAAGAAGATTTTTTAAGTTTTTACTATACACATATAGTTAAAAACAATGACACCCCTGGGGCAGGGCCAGTTTTGACCCCCGGGCTTTTATTTGAACAAACTTTGTAGATATTTACTTAAAAATGTTTCATGCTTAATATCTAAACTCTAGCTATTTGGGTTTTTTCAAAGAAGTTTTTGCTATACACATATAAGGAAAATCAATGACCCCCGGGGCGGGGCCAGTTTTGACCCCAGGGATTTTATTTGAACATACTTGGTAGACACCCATTAGAACATGCTTCATGCTAAATATCTTAGCTCTAGCTCTTTGGGTTCTTTAAAAGAAGATTTTTTAAGTTTTTACTATATGCATATAGGGAAAATCTATGACCCCCTGGGGCAGGGCCAATTTTGACCTCAGGGCTTTTATTTGAACAAACTTGGTAGACACTCATTAGAAGATGTTTCATGCTAAATATCTTAGCTCTAGCTCTTTGGGTTCTTTAAAAAAAGATTTTTAAGTTTTTACTATATGCATATAGGGAAAATCAATGACCCCCTGGGGCTGGGCCAATTTTGACCCCAGGGCTTTTATTTGAACAAACTTGGTAGACATTCACAAAAGATGTTTCATGCCAAATATCTAAGCTCTAGCTCTTACAGTTCTTTAAGAGAAGATTTTTTTAAGTTTTTACTATATGCATATAGGGAAAATCAATGATCCCCCGGGGCGGGGCCAATTTTGACCCCAGGGCTTTTATTTGAACAAACTTGGTAGACACTCACTAGAAGATGTTTCATGCCAAATATCTAAAAGCTCTCTAGCTCTTTTACGGTTCTTTAAAAGAAGATTTTTTAAAGTTTTTACTATATGCATATAGGGAAAATCAATGACCCCCTGGGGCGGGGCCAATTTTGACCCCAGGGCTTTTATTTGAACAAACTTGGTAGACACTCATTAGAAGATGTTTCATGCCAAATATCTAAGCTCTAGCTCTTAGGGTTATTTAAAAGAAGATATTTAAAGATTTTTCTTTCGGTTGCCATGGCAACCAGAGTTCTGCATGGAATTAAATTCTTTGAACAATTTTTAAAGGTGATCACCAAAGGAACATTCCTGTGAAGTTTGGATGAAATTGGCTCAGTGGTTTATGAGGAGATGTCATTTAAAGCAAAAGTTTACGGACGGACGGACGAAAAGCGATCACAAAAGCTCACCCTGTCACTTTGTGACAGGTGAGCTAACAAACAAACTAACTTTTGTTTTTTGGTTTTTTATAGGTTTATTAAGTTAAGCACTGAACTGAATTAATTAAACAATTTTTAAAGACCTTCATGACAGGAACATTCCTGCCTCGTTCTAACAATATTGTTCTATTGGAATAGGAGATGTTGTTTTAAAGAAAAGTTTAAATGCAATTAAAAGCGCACAGACGGGAAATTGACCCAAAAGCTCACCCTTGACATCTGTGCTCAGGTGAGCTAAATAGAAAGGCACAGTTATGTAATAGAAAGGCACAGTTATGTAATAGAAAGGCACAGTTATGTACTTTTGCAATATCATGTAAATGTACTTTGTATTGAAAACTGTGGAAATTATGAAGCCATTGGTACACATAGACTTTAAGCTAAATCCAACATGTCGTTTAACATTTACCTCGTACAAATGGATGAATGGTTCAATTATTTTATGCCCGGAGGAAATAAAAAATGTTCTCAGCCTCACTCATCCATTACAAAAACAAACAAACCATGGGATGAAAGTAGACAACCTATTGACAAACAGACTGACATCTTTTGAAAGGTCTAAAAACCTACATAAATATTAACTCCCCTGCATAACATTTTGATGCTCAAACATTGATAAAACGCTACATTATGTATCAAATCATAATCAAAATTACCTGCTGTGGTAACGGCTCGCCACTGTGTACTGTCCTGTAACCAGATTCAATTGAGCCTCGATCCAGTTCTTGATCTAACTGTAAAAGAATCATTTCATTCAGTTGTATTTTAAGTCAATGGAACAAACTAACCTGATTAAAAATGCATCTTGTGGATGTAACTATGTTAATTAATGTTGTTTTTTCCCCCCATAATTTTAGATCTTTTAAACAAAAGAAATGTTTTTTAGTGTATTAGTGTTAATGGTGTTTTTTTTAATTTTTGAGAATGCAAATTGTTCATCATTTATGCAAATTAAAAAACAAGAGCCCAGTTTGAGCCGGGTGATGCTCCCCCAATAGGTTTTGGACACTGGAAAGTACACCTCTTGTAGTTTCAGAGTTATGTCCCTGGAAAAAGTTCAAAGTGCAATAATTCCAAAATTAGGCAAGGCAGAGTTACTCTTCTTTGCACTGCACTTATAATCAATGTGATCTATCAACCTACAAAGTTTCTTGATGATATCTTTTATGATTTCCAAGTTATGTCCCGGACAACTCCAAAAAGTAAAAATAAATAAAGGGCAATTACTCAAGAATTAGGCAAGGCAGAGTTATGATTATTATGCACTGCACATCTACCCATTGAGATAAATCTACCTACAAAGTTTCATGTTAATATCTCTTATAGTTTTACAGCTATGTCCTGGACAAGATTTTTCTAAAAGGGGAGATAATTCAAAAATGAGGCTTTACAGAGTTATGGTTCTTTTGCACTGCACCTGTACTCAATGAGATCTATCTACCTACAATGTTTCATCTTGATATCTCTTATAGTTTTAGAGTTATGTTCCGGACAAAGTGCAAAGTGTTAAAATTAACAAAGGGCAATAACTCCAAAATTAGGACAAAAAGAGTTATTGTTCTTATACACTGCACATCTACCCATTGAGATCTATTCACCTACAATGTTTCATGTTGATATCTCTTATAGTTTTCGAGATATGCCCCGGACAAGATTTTTCTATAAGGGGAGATAATTCAAAAACCGAGCAAAATAGAGTTATGGTTCTTTGACACTGCACTCCCCCTCAATGCCCTCTACCACTGTATGAAGTTTCAACAAATTATCTCCAAGGAATTTCAAGTTATGCTCCGGACAAGACAACGGACGGATAAACAGACAGACAAGGCACCGACTATATGCTCCCCCCAAAATTTTTCGGGGAGCATAATAAATTTTATTAAAGTGAAAGGAATTACGGCAAAATGTAAACTTTTTTTTGCTGGATTTGCATGTCAATGGAACTTTAATGTCATCTCCAAATATAACTTCATATAAAGTTAAGATAAATACCAACAAAAAGTTCTTTAAGAGTTTTTTCCAGGACTGGGACCTTTTGAATTGTAAATATTTGAGCCATTATTTTTGAATATAGTCCTATTTCACACTGATAAATTATAGCTGTTCAATGTGGAAATAAGTTAATTCATATGTTGGAAAATGTCTTGATTCATAACAAACACCTTATTTAAGAAGTCTCATAGTTAAATCGGAATGTCTCTGTTTCTAATGTTTTTAGTCAATGATAATTTTGTAAACGTTGACAACTTTACAATAATGAATTATCATTAAAAAATATGACTCCCCCCCCCCAACTTTTGGGCTTTGTGAATGGGACTGTATTTCTGCCAAAGAAAAATAAAACAATAAACCATTGTCTTTACATAAAAGCCTGTTTAGTTATAAGGCTTTTGTAACACAATGAAACAATGAACAAACCACTGACAAACTACATAGCATTCATATTTTCTCAAAAATTATCAAAAGTGTTGGTTTTTCACATGAGCTAAGAAAAAGAACAAAGGTTGGAATAATCAAAGATATGCTACCTCAATTTCTGATACATTGGACGTGGACACTCCCGTATCTGCTGACGAACTCTTTCTTGTAATACTTTCATCCTTGTTATCACCTAATATGTTGATCACAATATCCCCATTCTTCGTGTTGTACTTGGTAAAGCTACAGTTTTTCTGTATCTTCTTAAAACGTGTGTTTCCTTCTTTCTTCTTTGATCCCGACTGATAATCTGATATGAGCATTACAAAATGAAAACAAATTCTTTAAGAGCACATGCCATAACTGTATCAATAAACTTAATTTATTTCTATTTTTCTTTTTTAGAGAGATAGTTATGCCCATTTAACTAGAAGTGAGGATGATGGTCACAAACAAGTGACAATAACTTAAAGGGTATAGAAAATTAGTTGGCTGGTGCAAAAACCTCAATGCCAATACTAATGAGAACAAAAGGCAAAATGCTACCAAAATCAATGCCAGAATTGTGTTCTATTGTCTGGAGAGGACGGGGGTGGGGGGTGATGGTAATAAAGAACTATTCTAAACTTCGAAGCAATGTCTTAAAATTTATAGAAGACAAGAATGTGTAGAAACAAATGGACCTGATCATGTTTTTTGAACAGTAAAAAAACATTTCCAAAAGGTTTACCCATTCATTAAGTAATGGAGGAACGATTGCTAAAAAGTATTGTTAGGGCTGGGTATTGCCAGGCAAGTTGCTAGAGGATATAGAAAATAGACACACGCTTATACCAACTTACATTATGAACTAACCAAAAAATAATATATACAATGTGGTCAACAGTCCTGCTATCAATTAATATGAAATACATTAACAACAGACTAGTTGATATAAAACAGATTCACAAATGTACAATTAAATCATTTAGCAAGACTAAATTACAACCTATTCCTGTTGTAAGATTTTTCCATGATGAAAATCAATGAACATGAAGTAGTATGCAATAGAATATGATAATAATGTGATGATTTGTATATTTCTCTATATATTCATGTGTACTTTACACAAGTATTGTTATTAAAAGGAAACATATTATATCTATATGTACTTTTTCATTTTCAAAATTTAATCATTCTTAGAAAGTCAAGGGCAATAACTCCACAAATACTGAAAAAATCCACAAACAAAACCCTATGTACACAGCTACATAAAAAAATTATGTTGATCAAAATTCCTGTAAAGTTTCATGACTCTAAGTCAAATACTTTTTGAGCTATATCGACACAAATTGAAAATCTTTACTTCATCAAGGGCAAACACAAAACCTCAGGTGCTCAATTTTAAATGCTGATCAACATTTCTGTAAAGTTTGACTTAAGCTCAAGCACTAAAAAGTTTCATGTAACACAAAATGGAACAAACTGACAATGCTCCCCACACACACTATATATCTCATATATCTCATCTGTACAAATGTTTAACCCTTTACCTCATACAGACAGGTTTTGATGGCTTTTCAACCTCACCCCCCCCCCCCTTTTTTGAGGCCAGTCAAAAAAATACCCTATTTAGACCCCAAACACTGTTTTTTGTTTGAGAAATGTTGTTAAGAAAAAATGGGTCAAAGACAGAAAAGGCCAGGTTGCATTTGTATACCAAATATCATGAGGCTGTGATGTTACAAAAAAATGTTTACCATTGACCATTTATGTCTAAAATTTAACTAAGTCGGTAAACAGGAAATGGATGAGCAACAGACCTGGAACTGAATCCCACAATATGGGACCAATGCTGTATGCCAAATATCAAGAGGCTGTGATAGGTAGTTGCTGATAAAACTGTTTTGAAAATTTCCTACCATTCACCATTAATGTTGAAAATTTAACTAAGTCGGTAAACAGGAAGGGGATGAGTGACAGACCTGAAATCGAATTCCACAGTATGGTACCATGTGTCAATGCTGTATGCCAAATATCAAGAGGCTGTGATAAGTAGTTGATGAAAACACTGTTACGAAATTTCCTACCATTCACCATTAATGTTGAAAATTTAACTAAGTCGGTAATCAGAAAAAGGATGAGTGACAGACCTGAAATTGAATCCCACAGTATGGGACCATGTGTCAATGCTGTATGCTAAATATCAAGAGGCTGTGATAAGTAGTTGCTGAGAAAACTGTTACGAAAAATTTTCCCCGCCCGCCGCCCATCATTCACCATATTATACCCCGAGTTCGCACATGTGCAACCCGGCCAAAAAGTGATCACTTTTTCGGCGCCGCCCCCAATCGAAAAGGTACATCAAGGGGTTGCCAGAATGGGGATGTGCCCCTTCTGTTTGGGGGAGTTTGAAGGGGAGAGGCAGTCCCCCTTATCGCCAAAAATTTTTTTGAACATGTGACAGGCTAAAAATGGCCTCAGACCAACGCTGAAAAGCCTTTTACTCTGTCACTATCCATTGAGAAGTTGCAGCACTTTGAAATCAGTTTTGATGGAAAAAAAAACAATGCAAAAAAGTGATTTTTGGCAATTTTGAGACGTTCCCCCGTTGCCATGATAACAGGAAATTTAAGATTGAGCATGCTGTTACAGAGGTTAACATTTGTGCCAAATTCCATCAGTTTTGAAGCATTTTTCAAAGTTTCATAGCAGTTTGAATTTGTAACAGGAGGCTTTTCAAGGAAAACGGCCATTTTTCACAATATGCTCATGAGATAAAGGGTTAATAAGTACATAAAAAATCTCTGTCTCATTTGGACAATTTTACAGTTACTTATTTTATAATGGACAATTAGAAATAATAATAAGATATTTCTACCTCCTCTCCTATTCCTTGAGTTTCTACGTCTCCAACAGATACAACAAACTGAAACTATACCAAAAATTAATGATTATCCACCTAAACAAAACTATCAATTACTTAAAATATTTCAAAATACATGAAATAAGTTATTACCATATCAGATTTATCAAATATACTCAACAAGAGGGCCATGATGGCCCTGAAGTCGCTCACCTGTATATAGGCCCCCGTATCAGGGCCAGTTTAAACCCCAGGGCTTTTATTTGAACAAACTTGGTAGACACCCATTAGAAGATGTTTCATGCTAAACATCTAAGGTCTAGCTGGTCAAGGTTTTTCTTTACACATATAGTTAAAAACAATGACACACCTGGGGCAGGGCCAGTTTGAACCCCAAGGGCTTTTATTTGAACAATCTTTGTAGAAACTTACTAGAAAATGTTTCATGCTTAATATCTGAACTCTAGTTATTCGGATTTTTTTTGAAGATTTTTAAGTTTTTTCTATACACATATAAGGAAAATCAATGACCCCAAGGGTGGGGCCAATTTTGACTTACTAGAAGATGTTTCATGCTTAATATCTAAACTCTAGCTATTTGGGTTTTTTCAAAGAAGATTTTTAAGTTTTTGCTATACACATATAAGGAAAATGGAAAATCAATGTCCCCTGGGGCGGGACCAATTTTGACCCCAGGGCTTTTATTTGAACAAACTTCGTAGACACTCACTAGAAGATGCTTCGTGCTTAATATCTAAACTCTAGCTATTTGAGTTTTTTCAAAAAAGACTTTTTAAGTTTTTGTTATACACATATAAGGAAAATGAATGACCCCCGGGGCGGGGCCAATTTTGACCCCAAGGCTTATTTTGAACAATCTTGGTAGACACTCACTAGAAAATGTTTCATGCTTAGTATCTAAACTCTAGCTATTTGGGTTTTCAAAGAAGATCTTTTAAGTTTTTGCTATACACACATATAAGGAAAATCAATGACCCCCAGGGCGGGACCAATTTTGACCCCAGGGCTCTTATTTGAACAAACTTGGTAGACATCCATTAGAACATGTTTCATGCTAAATATCTTAGCTCAAGCCTGTGACCAGGGTCGCACGGAAGAGAAATATAACATTTCCTATATAGACAAGAAGAGGTCTTTATCAAGAGAATCCTCTATCTGTTAAGCACTGTAGTGTTAGTTAGGGTGGCTTTTGTCATGAAAATGAATAATTATTTAGGTGGTTTGGACACAGTTTTGACTGTTTATTGATTGCCAATACATTATATTGACCAAAAAATATTTCTGTTCAATATGTACAATATGGGAAATAAAATGTTAATTACAAGAAAAAAAATATCTTAGCTCTAGCTCTATGGGTTCTTTAAAAAAAGATTTTTTAAGTTATTACTATATGCATATAGGGAAAATCAATGACCCCCGGGGCGGGACCAATTTTGACCCCAGGGCTTTTATTTGAACAAACTTGGTAGACACCCATTAGAAGATGTTTCAAGCTAAATTTCTAAGCTCTAGCTCTTTGGGTTCTTTAAAAGAAGATATTTAAAGTTTTTTCTTTTGGTTGCCATGGCAACCAGAGTTCTGCATGGAATTAAATTCTTCGAACAATTTTCAAAGGTGACCACCAAAGGAACATTCCTGTGAAGTTTGGATGAAATTGGCTTAGTGGTTTATGAGGAGATGTCATTTAAAGCAAAAGTTTACAGACGCCGGACAAAAAGCGATCACAAAAGCTCACCCTGTCACTTTGTGACAGGTGAGCTAAAAAAATTGATCTTATTGCCTGGCACAAGTTGTTACCACAATTTTAAGTCCTTCTGGAACAAAAAAAAAAAATGTGATTTTTTCCTCTTTCCGACATTGCAAAGTATATATCTAAATTACATTGCTTATAATTGCCACCAAACAAAATAAGGACCAGCAAAAATCCTAAACATGAAACAGGGGCTATACATTTAGATATTGTAAAAATTATCATCTAATAGACATTAGAAAAAATTACCTAAAACAATCACAACTGTAGAAGACACAAACACTGCTACTAGTATAGTGACCAAATTTGAATCTAGAAAAGAAACAAATTATACAACTAATAATAATGTGATATCGTAAAAATTGTAATTTATTTAAATATTCTCTTTATACATGTACATACACTGCCAACCAATTGTACTTTTCTATTTTTCGCTAGTCATAAAAATCTTCATCTATACTGATAATGTGCTGTATCTGTTATAACACTTGTTCAATGTGTAAAATTTCAATTAGGATACTCGTGGATGCAGGTGTGAATAGCATGCCCACTCTTGTTGCTGACCAACATTTCAGTAAAGTTTCATGACTCCAGTTCAGGTTTTTGAGCTACACACAACACAAATTGAAGATGGCAAATTTATACTAAGTCAAGGGCAATTACTCCGACACAACTGTATGCAAGCACAGACAAGTGCAGATCGAAATCCCACACCCAGAGTGGGGACCTAAAAAAAGTCATGGCAGTAGTTGTGGGGGCCTCGTGTAGTGACTTCCAATAATGATCCCCAAGACATGCATCAAGTTTTCAGGGAATTCCTTCAGTGGTTTTGTTTCAGATTTATGATGTTACACACACAGTCACATTTCAGTTAAAATCCATAACATAAAGTTTTGGGCCATGGATAGTCATCTCAAATTTTAAAACTCAAAGACATGAATAAATAAGCAAATTTCTATAGTGGTTAATGAGAAATGAGTTTTACAAGATGCACCTAAAGAACCTTAAGCAAGACATAATTTGTCCACATTAATGGCCAGTAGAGTAGTACACATGTATATTGCCAATAAGCCAATCAACAAAACTAACCTTTCTGATGAGGTGATGTTGATGGAGTGGACGGACTTGTGATATTAATATGTTTTGAGATTTCTGGAGGAGACGGAGTTACATTTTGGTCTGGATGAGCAGTGGTTTCTTTTATCCTGTAATAGAAATATATTAAATTAATGACAATCATTCATAATTTGGTTTAAAGTTAAAAGTTAAACATATTTTTAATCAAGATATATAATAATATGTTAATAATTTACAATTTAAAGCAGAAAGGAATTGGACCAAGAGCTGCAATAATTCATTGTAGTTCTCTCCTTTAACAAAGCAATGTAAAAATATAATACATGGCTTACAGTATTCCTAGAAAAAAATTCGCATTTTAAGTTAGCGCTTTTCGCTGTAGGCATGATTCCGCGAATCTTTATAGCTGCGAATATGTCACTTATAACAAATCCGTGAACATTTCAACCAAATATAAACATAAATGTGCAGAATATTTATTATAATCTAATTACACAAAAAGTGCTACAGAAATGTGTAAAGAAATATGTATGTATGTTATAGATACCTGTTTGGACCCTGAATAAAATAAATTGTCAATTATTAGTAGTCAAGACGTTAACAAAAGCATTTACAGTTTGTGTACATTGAATGGCTTGGTTTTTATTTGCTTGGAGTAGGTGTAATCCTTTGTTAAAATTACAATAGCGATCAAGAGCTACACTGATAAGCAGCTGTTATGCTGTTATAATAAAAGCGATGTTCAGTGGGACTGTCCGATACTGAGTAAAAAAATACGTATCAACATTTTGAAGATAAAGTCAGTTATGATTCAAATGAGAATAAGTGCTAATGGGTCTGACTATATCTTACTTAATCATATAATGAAAAAGGTAAGTAAATAAGATAAAAGTGTTCACGGAACAACTGTCTGTGTTCGACAAGTCAATAGATGGGTATTGTCAAAAAAAATTAAAAGAATTAAAAGTATCCAACAGGCGAGGACATGTATCAAAAACGTAGCCTCTTTAAATTTTTTTATATTCGCGAAATTCGCCGTTACTACAAATCCGCGAAAGTTTGTATCCACGAAAATGCTGACGTGAAAAACGCAAAATATTGTATCCGCGAACATTTCTAGGAATACAGTACTTTCATTTTAATTAAACCCTATAAAGAGAGAAAAAAATGAAAGATATTTACAAATATGAAAGTAATTAAACACTATGTTGTATGACAACTAGCATGTTACATGTTAGAACCTTTTTGTATCTCTTACAAATTTATAAAAAGTGCCAAAAATGCTTTTCCTTCGCACTCCAATGCATAATTTTCACCTTAAAACCTTGTTTCAATAAGTAAAGGCAAAGCCTCAAAACGAGCTCTTTGACAGAAATTACAATACATTTCATAAATATGATCACATTTATTAAAATAGAGAAAAGGAATCCCTAAAGAACGCCAAAACAACAAAATTGGAAATATTGCAGGCTCAGTTGGCCCTTTAACGGCTGCATACTTTTTACTTCAATACACTTAGAACTGCACAATTTAGATTTTGATTTATTTCGTCCAAAAAATTCACTTAACACTACTAGTACTACAATCTTTTTTTTTACTTTCCAAATAAGACCATTTCATATTTTATATGATATCTAAATTAAATACACCCTTCATAGTACATAAATTCACTTAAAACTAAATTTCACAATAAGTAATTCCATCTCAGGTAAAGGATGATATCCTGAAACAGGAATGTATTGGAAGTTGATATTGACACAGCACCTATTTCTATTTATTTTGTATTTTATGAGTAAGTCGTATATAAAGGTAATTTCTTACCTGTAATATTATCAAAAATTGCTCTGTATACATGAATCAGTCAAAATTTAAGTACTTAATGATGAATTCATCAAATGACAGTCACAATAGTGAAAGCGCTAAGAATCCCATTTCATGAAAAGGTACATTCGCAAAACTTGTTATTAGGATTGATGGTACACATCAAGGGATTCTAAATGTCAATTTAAATGGGACCATAATGGCACAGGAAACAAGAAAAACTTTTGCCTGGCAGGTTACCTGCTGGTAAGAGATTCCTGGTGTGCTCTAAATACAATAGGACAGGGAACAAAAATAAGCTATGATGAAAAGCAGGCATACTTATTACCCAAAATTTTGCTGTACTTCAGGCAAATGTTTTCAAAACCATCACTTCTGAATATACTCTTGTTATTGTTATGCTAGCTTTGGGAGCAGGCCCTTTGGCTTGGACTTTGAGCTAGCAATCAACAATTAGACACTTGATAAACTTGATTTATCAATTTGGAGAGAAATTTTCAGAGTAATTTTGGAAATTGGGAAAACTGCTGTTTTATTTTCATTTTTGTATTGGAAAAAATGTGTCGTTTTCTGGTATAAGGTACATAAGGGGTGGGGGTGGGAGGTGGGGGGCGGGGCAGCTGCATTTTTAAATAATAATAAGCAATTTAATTTCATGGGTAAAAGCTTAATTTCCAATTTACTTACACAGTACTGCTATTATCACCAGTTCCCATTGAGCATTTGAAATAGTTCAATTTATCCACTACATATCCTTTCTTACATATATTACCACATTGCCTATCTACAAAGAAAAAGTTAATACACCATTCATAGTAATACAACTAAACAGATTTCTTGCCAGCTTACTGTGGGCAGAACGGATAGTACTTGTATATGGCTCGAATACATAGTCTATTTTTTATGGCTACCTCACCAAGCAGTGCTATCATTGCAGAAGAAAAAGCCACTCTATTTAAACATTCCACTCAGAGAACAAGTTTCTGGAATATCAATATCTATGTAATTATCCGCCTTAAATCACTGATGCGGATAGATGTATTGTGCATAGATTACTTCCTCTATGGTATGACCATTCATAGAGGCGACCTGAGAGACTACTAAAGCACATAATAATTCTAGCTCGAGAGGAGATATGAAATATTCTTCATACTACTCGACTTAAAGTACAAAACGTTATATTACGTTAAAAAGAGCAATGAAAAAAAAAAACCCCCTAAAAATATTGGCTTTCAGGATAACGCCCCTTGTCTCACAACAGTGATTGTCATGATTTCCAACTTTTGTGTTGATACCTTTTAAAATGTTTGAATAATAGGGTACATAAAAGTTTTTGCTCAACTCCCAACAACAGGGCCATCCTTAAAAAAATGTTTGTTTGCAGTAACCCGACCCAGAATTTCCAAGGTGGGTAGGTAGGTCGATTTTTATTTTTTTTTATTCAACTGTACTCCCAAATAAACATGGAATTTCAAAATGCTGGACAATATATGCTTTGATAATCTGGTAACAATTAATAAATTGATAACTGAATTCTAATTTAATAAGACCTACATTTTATTTCTTCTATTAACCTTTAAAAGAACAAAAACAAAGCACAAGGCATAATTTCCTGATTCAAAAAAAATAAATTTTTATCCAGACCATGAAAAAAAATTTTGAGTAGGGGCAAATTTTGTGAGTCAGTCGCATTACTGCAAACAAACATTTTTTTAAGGATGGCCTAGTTTGCATCGTTCATTATAGCTAGATCTTTTCTTGGAAACAGGCATTGGCCAACACGAGTTTTCGAGAGGAAAGCTTGCTTGACTATTCTCTTAATGCAAACCTAGTTAATGTAGAATTTTCTAAGTTCAAAAAGGCAACTATTCTGTCAAAATCCAAGTTAGGTTATAGACCTTAGACAGTGATTTTTTGAGATACCAACTTGCATGCAAAAACATAACCAAAGTATGGCGCCGACGCCTGGGTAAGTACAATAGGTCTCCCTATCCTTCGAACAGTAATTGAAGCTTAAAAAGTGATTAAGTATGGCAGCCAGCAGTATATCCTGACAATAATTGTGTATATTTGCTGACTTGCCTTACTATACATCCACTATCTCCAAGAGCAAAATAAGCTTTGATTGATAATAAAATTGGAAAAGCTTCCGAAGCATACATTACACTTACTTGGTAAAAGGCGCTTATCCTTAGGGCAAAGTGTCTCAAAATCAACCAACTTATCACAGACAGAAACCTCATTCTCAGCCAGACTTGTGTACATGTTAGAGTTGGAACTCACAAACCCACGTTCTACATCACAATACCCACGGCCTGGATGAGTATTGTTTCCTGGGTACAACACTTTAATTCCCAGACGTTCAATGAGGTCTGCATCTTCATGTTTAAAATAAGAGCATGCTGTGTAGCAGTTTTCTCTGACTGGCTGGTAAAACGCTTCTGGGCAAACACTTTTCTCTATTACAACTTTCTGGTGATCCTCATCGAAATAAACTTTATTCATCAGACCTTAAATATAGAAGTAAAATCAAAAGTTCAAACAAAAAATAACTTTCATTTCATCAAAGTGCTTTTTACCTATAAATGAGGTTACAGAAACTTCTTTAAATATAAAATGATAAATCAGTCTTCCCTAAAAATTAATCAACTAATACATTTTTTCTTTCCTTTTAACAAAAGATACTGTTATTTTTCTCAAATGTACCTGAAGGGTCCCATCCCCTACCTGTGAAAAAAAGTTCAACAACACCTCAAATAATTCCATTGAATCCTTACAAACACCATGCTGACTGTATGCTTTTGTCAGACTAATTCCAGAATTTTTATATCTCCTTCATAAATTTAAGATATTATAAACTGAAAACCTTAAAATTGGGTAGTTAACTGTTCAGACTCAGAACAATCTCCATGCAACTGGTCAAGTTCTAAGCTTCTGGCATACAACTTTTACTTTCTTCTTCCGGCATTCCTGTTAGAAGGGTACATTAGAAATGTGTCCATACTACACATACTCAACTGTTTTGTCAATCTACTGACACTATGTCAAATTGAAATATTTTCTGGGCTACCCAAGGTGCACAACTTTACATGCTAAGCAACATTCCTGTTAATGTTTATATGGAACAGAATTAATGCATTTATTCTTTCTTGCTTGATGACATTGGAACTTGCATTATGCTTAAGTCCATCTTGCTTGATGACATTGGAACTTGCATTATGCTTAAGTCCATCTTGCTTGATGACATTGGAACTTGCATTATGCTTAAGTCCATCTTGCTTGATGACATTGGAACTTGCATTTTGCTTGATTCCATCTTGCTTAATGACATTGGAACTTGCATTTTGCTTAATTCCATCTTGCTACATGACATTAGAACTTGCATTATGATTGATTTCATCTTGCTTTATGATATTTAAACGTTGCATTATTCTGGATTCCATTTTTCATTATTTCATTCAAACATTTCGTAGTGACCAATGCTTTCATTGAGTGATAACTATTAAACTGGAACGAGCCATTTGGAATACTAAAATATTAACGTCATATACCGTTATGTATAAGCTACCTTTCTTCATGCTCTATACAAACTATTTACGGTTTAGTTTTTCTTGTATCACTTTTATGTAGAAGTCATTTAAAATTGACTATTTTTTGTTCCCTGATGGATTTTGTTAAAATGTGACTTATTTGATTTACAGCTCGCATGGCGTGATTACTATTAGCTTTCGCTTATATCCATTATTCAGTGTTTATGCTTAATAAAGCTCGGTGTCTGAGGCTTTGTGGATTATGTTTGATCATCTTACATTATGATAAACAATTTAAACAATGTCTAGCGATTTGTGAACTGTTAAGGGGCGAGAACTCTGTTAACGGATTTTTTCCATGATTCGCCTATCATCGGAATTTTCCGTACATGTATATATTACGGAATACCGTTAGGGCCATCGTGGTTATACGTTAAAATACAGAGGGCGACAATACTATAAATACGTACCAAGCGCTTAATACATAGATTGCAGTGGAAAGAATATAAATACAAGTAGTAAGGATTATGCAATATAATTTTATACATGTATATGTATACAGTCTAATAGAAAAAATATGCCCGTAAACAGTTATTCAATGGGGCAGTTATATACAGTGGCGGATTCAGGCCTTGGCTTAAGGGCTGCACCTACCCCAAAAGATACGTTGATGAGCTGGGATGGAATATATACGTGTAAGTTTCATGCAATAGTGGTCATAGTGTATTCCCTTATCAAAACATATGCTGTCATCCAGTTGTTAAGCACCTGCCCAGGTATTGCGACTGCGAAGGTCTTTATCTAATGACTTGGACATTAAAAGCAAAAGTTATTAATTGGCCTTTTAACTTATAAAATGTCTCAGAGTCACTAATAGTGGCGAATAGGTATGTAACACATTAAAATATACATGTATAATAAGGAAAGAAGGAAGTTGTTTATTTTTGTGACATGTGCATAGTCAATTATAAATGTTGGGCATATGTGTGTCTGATTATAGATCAGACATCCCGCACACACCACCACATTCACATACATTTGTGCTAAAAGATATACTATGCACATCTTTCAGTAATATATTTTTATCACAGAAATTTATTGAAGTCTATAAAATTCTTACTAAATATGTTTTATTTAAATAAAAACACATACACATAATGTATAGGAATCTGCTTTCCTTATTACGGGTCAAGTAAAGTTGTGCCTGTCTTTAAAAGAAACTTCCATATATATTTTTGTAATAACACTATACATGAATATTCATACTGCCCACTTACAGTGTAAAGGATTAAAAGCACAATGTTTGTGTGAAGCCAAATTATATTTATTTTATTTTACAAAAAAAATAAATCAAGTTTGTACTGTACTAAGTCGTGGCCACGAGTTACTAAGTGGCATGTGTGTGTGTTTATTTATCTCGTGCGCACGAGATACTGTGTCGCGGCCACGAGTTACTAAGTCGTGGCCACGAGATAGTTAAGTCGTGGGAACGAGATACTATATCGTAGCCACGAAATACTATGTAACGGCCACGAGTTACTAAGTCGTTTAAGTCGTGGGAACGAGATAACTAAGTCGTGCAGACGAGATAATTAAATAAGAATACACCATGATTTTTTAAACTTAGAAAATTTCTGTTTAAAGATTTACGTGCAACATTAATCTTTGAAAATACTGAAGTGTTCACTTTGAACTTAATACATGTCTTTAGGATCATAAGGCCCATAAATCAGACATTAATTTTGACTAAGTTATAGCCCTTTGGTGGGACAATTCTATGATAGAATTGGTCATTTTGTACGTACAAAGGCCTGTTAACATTGTTCATACCATAACTTGAGAGGGACTTAGTCCTGGTTTATTTTATTGGGAGGTGAATGATTTAGAAAGAATAAGCTGTAGTTTATATAACCCCAAAAAGATCAGTAGAAGACACCTAATAATTTTTAGGCAATTTGGTCAGAAATCAGGGTGACAATGACGCTAAATCTTTGACCAATCAATAACTTGTATAAATGGCACTACGGGCAAGTGAAGTAGGGGCATCCTTGTTAGGAAAATTCATATAAATAGTGTAATTTGATTGGTTATTTATCTCGTTCGCACGAATTAACTTTCTCGTGGCCACGACTAAACTTTATCGTGGCCACGACATAGTAACTTGTTCCAACGACTTATTTATCTCGTGGCCACGACTTAGTTATCTCGTTCCCACGACTTAATTATCTCGTGGCCACGACTTAGTAACTCGTGGCCACAACATAGTATCTCGTTCCCACGACTTAACTATCTCGTGGCCACGACTTAGTAACCCGTGGCCACGACACAGTATCTCGTGCGCACGAGATAAATAAAAACACACACATGTCACCATTGTGCCACCTTAAGTTTGATAAAAGATTGTCACACACGCTCAAAAAGAAGTGTAAACAATTGTATAAGAGGTGAGTTGCCACTTGTAGGATGAGTTATTAGAGACATATATAACTTTTTTTTCCACATGCTGGCGGAATCTTCAAAAACACGCACTTTTCGTCTGTCGCATCGTGTTCTCTTGTTTTTCAGTAAATTTACATGTCAGTCCCCAACTATAACACTGTTCTGTATACGCCCCTATATAAAGTGGACGCAACTTTGTTTACTCCACGTGCCAAAATACGGGATCATCCGGAAAATAACGGGATGTACCGACAAAGCGACACCTGCTGTCATAATATGAACACAAATTATTGCAACTCGCATTATGCTTACTGCCAACTGCTTAGTGCGTACTGTCACATGCGACTATAATATCGCTATCGTTGTCATCTTTGTTGTCGATGCGCAGTGATCATGTATTGCATTATATTTGTAATCAGTGAATATATTGAAGCATATAAATGCTAAGACACATCAAATTCGCCAATTATTGATCAAAATGAATAGTTTATTTTGACATATGTCGACAATATCAGTGGCAGATTTATAGCAAATTAAAGATACAACTACCATGTTACATATAGTTATAAAGAATGTTATCTTAAACACCAAACATAATACGTTGTCCTTAAAAAAGGATGCAATTAAACATATAGCATATTAAAATATGTGAGTTTGATGGTTTAGTAGGGAACACACAAGGTTGCAATTACATGAAAGTGCATTCAGTAATCATAAGGCATGATTGAATTCAGCAAAACGCAGGTTTTCATTGTCATAAAGAAGTATAGAAGCAAGCATAATGTAAGTTCCGATATCATAAAGCAAGATGGAATAAATGCATTAATTCTGTTCCATATGTTTATGACCCTTGGTCAAATACTTTTTGAACTATGTGCGACACAAGTTGAAAATTGCAAACATTTACTAAGTCAAGGGCAAAACAGAATAAATCCACAAGAGAAACCCCAGGTGCACATCTTCACATGCTAAACAACAATCCTATTAAGTTTCATGACTCTAGGTCAAATATTTTTTGAGCTACATGCGACACTTGTTGAAAATTTCAAATTTTTACCAAGTCAAGGGAAATAACTCTGAACAAATACAAATACTGAACAAATCTACAAGCAAATACTCAGGTGCACAACTACACATCCTGACTAACATTGCTGTAAAATTTCATGACTCTAGGTCAAATTCTTTTTGAGTTATGTGCGACACAGCATGAGAATGGATGGACAAGGGTAAATCCCCCCCAAGTGGGGGCACAATAACCATATAAGTTTGAGAATGACCTCTTTCACAAAAAATAATTTTCTTGAAGGTAAATGACCTTTGTTACATCTTCAAGGGTCTTTCAATAATACAAATGCAGTTTTTGATAATGAAATGTTTAAAAACAAATTATCAGAAGTTAAGTCTGGTCCAACTATGCAATAAACAGTCTTCGAAAAAAACGCCAGTCCGAGGCCCGAGGCCACTAAATTTAGCATCGGTCTGGTGATTATTGCAAGGTTGGTGGTCCGATTGGCCAGTAGTATTTTGGCCATGAAAAAATATTATAAGAAAAATTCATCAAAATAATGAAGCAGGGTTCCCTAAAAGATTGATCTTTTTGCCTTTTTTGCAAATGAAACCCATCAATTCTGTCGTAAATGTTCAAAATACAGCGAAAGATGTCTAAATAGTATTGAGAAATGGAGGCCGCCATTTCTTTTCTTGGATATTTTCCGTACCACACTGTAAATTAAACCATTGTTTATAATTTAGCTATGATTTTGTGATTATTGAGTTAAGTAAATATTTTGTGTGAAAGTGATTTGTTTGAAGCAAAGTGCGTTGTTCATGTTCAATTCTAGTCAATTTTGTCTAAACATTTGGTCCTTTAGATTTTTCAAAGCTGTCAACATATGGCCCAGAATACAAGAAGTATTATGCTTCCTTCAAAATTATCAAGGGAAGCATGCTAAAGAGTTTTCGTTTACCCGTCAATTTATTACATCTATGTATTTGGTCCGGCTAAAAATCAACAGGTCCAGTAAGATCTGAAATTTTACTGGCCCGAATGCCCAGTGCTTTTTAAAGTTTTTTGTGAAGACTGAATAAAGCCCAAAATTGTATAGTTCTAGACCAAAATGTACATGTAAATTATCACTGTTTACGTAATACTTTACATACCTATTCCACAAACTTCCTGCTCGGCACAGAACTCTAAAACACCTCTGCCCTTCTTATCATCTTTGCATACATAGGATGTCCCTATTGCACATTGGAAACCGCAAGCCTTTGTCCTTAACTCCAGAGCACTGTTAGAGTCTGGACATGAATATTTTCTCTTATCATGGCAATAATCGAAGTTCCTGGAACTAAGTTCCGGTACATACACTTTTGTGGCAGTTGCTTTATATGTTACAACTACTAGTAGTAGTAATAAGCACCACGGCAATGTTAGTGACATCATCTGAAAGAATAGAAGTTTGTTATGTTAAATTGTGATTCTCATAGTAATATGCAATACTATTGTAACGTTTTTGGGCACCCAAACCCTGTCTGTGAAAAATTTGCTCATCACAAGAGTGGTCTGTGTCCTGATATATGGGAAAAATTCCCTTATGTTTATTCACACACTTTAGTTTTTGGATATTATTATGTTCATTATCAGTATTATGACTTTCTACCAACTTCATTACATTACTTTCTCCTCCGAAAAGTCTTGTCATTGGGTATAGCCACTCCAGTCCTGCAGTTGACTACATCCTATCGCTGCCACCAAATATAACGTTTTAAAGCACACAAAACCCTGTAGGAGAAAAGCTAGCTCACCACCAAGACTGGTCTGTGTCCTTACATATGGCCTGATTATAAAAGTGACATTAAGCTCAATTGTTTATTGTTTAGTTCAGCTGAACTGATTACATATTTCAAAAGATTGACCATTATAATGGTGATTGACCAACAATTGATAATGGAAAAATAAAATGTTTATGATAAAATATAATTCTGCCTAAAACATAACAAGAGGGCCAAGATGGCCCTACATGTAGATCTGACTCACCTGACCCATCAAACTCATCTAAGGAATTATCTAGACAAGCATCCTGACCATGTTTCAGGACAGTTCAGTAAAAAATGGGTCAAAGACAGAAAAGGCTGGGTTGCATTTGTATACCAAATATCATGATGCTGTGATGTTATGTAAAAAAATTTCCACTGACCATTAATGTCGAAAATTTAACTAAGTGGGTAAACAGGAAGTGGATGAGCAACAGACCTAAACTAGAATCCCATAGTATACAGTAAAGGACCATGTGTCAATGCTCAAAATATAAAAAGACTGATAAGTAGTTGCTGAGAATTTCCACTGACCATTAATGTCGAAAATTTAACTAAGTGGGTAAACAGGAAGTGGATGCGCAACAGACCTGAACTAGAATCCCACAGTATACAGTATAGGACCATGTGTCAATGTTATAATATGCTTAATATAAAAAGAGGGCCATGATGGCCCTGATGTCGCTCACCTGTATATAGCCCCCCCCCCCCCCCCCGACAGGGCCAATTTCAACCCAAGGGCTTTTATTTGAACAAACTTGGTACAGTGCAATCAGAAATCTTCTGAGTTTCATTCATTTCTTGACAGTTTGGGATTGAATATTTCTTGCTACGTATAATCAGCGAAGGTGCCAATGTTATTTTCTTAAAGAGTATTTATTTATCTAAGATTTGACACCAGGATTGTTAAGATTGGTGAAAAATTGATGAATATAATTATATATGCGCTGATAATTGAGATGCTAGTGATATTTCTATATGCAAAATGAAAGTAGAGTAAAATATCGGCTATATCCTGGAATAGACCCCGGGGTCTAAACCAGGAGTATATATAACAGTATAAGGTTCATTCCGTTTTCTTTAGTGTATTATATATACAGGTTTTACTTCTGAAATATACATAGCCTTAGGGGTCTAAACTCTAATCCAGGAGATTGCCAAAATACCTTTATAATATTTTTGAGTCATAAAAATTGTTGTTTTTTTTTTCATAAAATTTATTTTTGTCAATATAATACGATGTTTGGATGATGTTTAAGGGTTTTGGGTTGTAGAGGGGGAACGGGGGTATAGTGTAAGTCATGGCCACGCGACGTTTACCCGTGTCATCCAACATAGGCCGCCATCTTAAAACAAATTATATTTATGCCGGCATAGATTCTAGATCTATATGAAATAAGACCGCAAAAGCGGTTACAATATGTAACCGTTTTTAAACAGGAAATAAATGGAATTGTTGCTTACAATTACTTTTGAAACCAACACTTTTACGGATGTGTCTCATAAATCTGTATAAATCTGACGTAAATTTCATGTGACTGTTAATCGAGAATGTTCCGTGTGGGGGGTAACATGACTAAGAGCCTACTCTCCCGTTCCTAAACCGATATTGTGGGACTTCCAAACAACTGCTTGTATTTTAAACACTGTTAAAGATTATATATATCTGAATAACGGTTTAATTAAAGCGTACAGGCATGATGAAACACATATATGTCTGAGTAAGTGCACTAGTCATATTGGTTAGTTAGTCATATATATATATATAAAAAAAACTTAATTATAAGCCGTTTTGAAAAAAAATCATATTTGAGCGTCTACGTACTGTACAGTACCGTATAATGTATTATTACAGTACAGACGTTGCATGAAATATGATTTTTTTCTTCAAAACGGCTTATATTTAAGATCCTGTATGTTGAGGTCAAGGTGGTAAACCACACTAAGTGAAATTAAATATATTATGTAAATAATTATGCAAATAAAACAATTTTCAAACATCGAAGAATATGTTAATTATAATATTTACTGCAAATATTTGTGCATATATTATATGTAAATTCATTGAAATATATGCATTCATTTAATTCTTACATAATTTACATGAAATGTTAATTTTGGAAATATCTCTATATAAATACAGTAATGCTTTTTGGAACCTACAATATTGCTGGGACATACGATATCTTATGTCCCAGAATATTGACACAATTGAGCATCATATTTAGATCTATTATTGAAAATCATAAAAAAATAGTGTTGCAGGATCTTTAAGGTTTTTTTTGTACAGTATACGTACATGTGCTGGAATTGACAAATATGCATTTTATTTGGATTTTAAAGGCGTTTTGAGCTCCACAACCCAATTGTCTGTGCCTTTATTTTTTTGCATGAAATGTCAAATTCGGTAATATCTTCAAAAATAATGGTTTTTGGAACTTACAAAATTGATAAATCTTAATTTGAATAACATAGGCCTATTTATGATATAAATATAAAAACCATAAAAAAATGTGTTACAGGATCTTTTAAACGACTTAATATTGGCTATAATAATACTAATATAAATATATTTTCCTTTCCAGTAACCTGTTATGGCCACCAGCATTGTCGTAAAGAAAGTTCACCATTCGAAGCACGTATATACGTACTGCTGTGGCACAGTCATCGTCGGATACCCACGGCCGAACCATTAACATTCAGCTGCATGTTATGTGACATGTTTATCAATCGTGGGTATCCGACGATGTGGCACAGTACGTGCAGGTGACACAAAAGCGTCCAGCCACATAATAGTCACATGCAGTAGCATAAACGCCGTCTGGTAGAGCACTGACGTCTCCTCCTCTCAGAGCATAAAGTCCACAAAAGAGAGCACCAACGCCACCTGAACGTTCTATATAGATGGTGAACAGCTAAGAGCAGAGGAGACACAGCGAAGTGAAGCCCTGCATGTTTGGTTTACGTCATTTGATGAGGAGCACCAAGAAATGTTCAGGCAATTTTAGACAACATGCTGCTGCAGAACAGAGGAATGAGACAGAGGCTGTACTCTCCTGCGCATCGGTCGAATGTTCCACTAACGCGAGTGTATTCAGTGAGCTGCGAAGGGAGCGTACAGAGGCTGATGCAGAGCATGGCTTCCTGGGGGGAGGCTGGCATATGGGCGGAAGGTTTTGACAAAAATAATGCAACAGGCGAAAATTGTGCATGTTTGAAGATTGGGACAGCCGGACAAAAATTGTAACTGATGTGTTTTATAGCTCATCTTATAAATGGCAATTTACTTTGATTATAATATTATATCTGTATACTAATGGGAATTCAGAAAAAATATATGTAATTGTGGTGGGCCTGGGAGGGGTGTCCCCTCCCATAGATTGAGAAAATTTTGAAATATGAGGTTGAAAATGGTGTTATTTCCTTGACTTTCTAGTGCTGTTTATGGTACCTTTTGGATGGTTTTATATCACACTGTATTTTGTAGGGGTTAGTGTTTTCAGGGTCTTTTAAATAGAATTCCTCTGGTGTTTAGTATTATTAAGCATTTACAAACTAACAACACACTTTAACCAATGTATGCGCGACTGTTGATAAAAATAATTTCAAACACTTGATCAATTTACTTATCTGAATAATAGTTATTCTAGACGATTTTCCAAAGTAAAGTGATATTAAAATACGATCTGCCTTTCTATTGCATATATTGTACAAAAAAATCAAACACTAATATTCAATAGGAATTTTTTCCATCAATGAATCCATTTTAGATATATACTCATATAGGTCAGTACTTTTTTTTAAATATATATAACTGCCAAAAAAAGTTATTTACAGCAAATGACCAATCATTTCATCTTAATAAAAATCTTAGTAAAACTAGTTATTAAAAAGTGATTCCTTTAATATTATCTTTATAAAACCAGGGTCTTTCACATTTTATTTGAAAGACCCTGAAAAAGCTTTCTATCTATTCAATTTACAGATAATAATTTTCAATTTCCTATTTATAGAGCTTTCCCAAAGAAAACGGTAAAAAAACCAAAGATATTAAAATATGGTGTACAATCGATGTAACACATCTTTTGCCACTATCGGTGACTATTAAATTCATTAGACCTTTGGAAAGTAATAAACCAATCAATTAAGCAGTTTAAACACTGGAGACATCCAAGCATGTCGATAGATAAAGATCTCTGCCAACCCCCCAGGCAGGAGATTAACAAATACACGCGGGGATGAAGTGTTACACGAAGGATGGAGTTCTTATGATAACTTGTTCAGGAGTTCTTGTGATAACTGTCACTCCGGGACATTTTGAAAATCTGGTATAAATCTGTTAGCCGGTGCTATAAGTTTGCAATTTTGCATTATAATTAGGTAATTATGTATGGCAAGGATGAAGGGTCAAAACTTATGAATCGGCAAGTAATTTGGAAATGTTACTCAAAACTACCAGATTTGAAGCAAGAGGCGATGAAAAATGGCCTATGAATTAGGCTTTGACACATAATACAAGATGTAAGACAAGCTTAATCATTAAAGTTTAATTTAGCACCTAAAACTCATTTTTGAAAGATGAAAATAACCATTTTTTACGAGTGTTTTTGTAGTTTATACAGATGTTTTCCGACGAACTCCGTGACAGTTATCAAAAGAACTCCTGAACAAATTATCATAAGAACTCCATCCTTCGTGTAACACTTCCTCCCCCCTTTAACTACAGGATGACAGCAATTAATGTTTTGATAAGGAGTACACTACAGCCAATAAAGTTTGAAACTGACAAAAATATATTCCAGCCCAGCTGGTAAACGTATCTTTCAGTTTGGGCTGAGCTGGAGGGGGTACAGCCCTGAAGCCCGTGTCTGAAACCGCCACTGCTGAGACGCTAATATTACTAAACAAGATTTTAATATTCAGCAGAGTAATATGTTCTTTGGAAATTAATTTTAGGCAAAAAATATATAATTTTAATTTTGTAGCGGAAGTCACTTCTATAATAGCCGATAACAGTTTAAAAATAATTTTCTGTTTCGTCACCTTTATCTGGAATATAAAATTTTAGTATAAGTTACTCTAATGACTTTGTACTTTGCTTTTATTTTTATGTTAATTAATATTATAAAAATTTTAATGTTAACTTTCAGTATGTTGTAATTGCCTATACTTTCAAAGTCTAAAGTCATACAAAGTCAGTTGTTGACTTTCAATTGACTTTAATTATTATCTGATTTATTAATGTTTTACTTTATTTTTGAATTAAAAATTAACAGGCAATAGTGAGGTGTCTATTTTTAATGTTGTAAATTTTCTCGAAAACGATTCTTGATAATTTGAATACATGTATATTTAAACAATACACACTTTACTTCATTATTTTTTCTGTCAAAATTAACTTTCAAAGAACATATTTCTTTGCTGAATATTGAAATCATGTTAGATAATGTTAGAAATTTTTAAAAGAACGAACTTTGCAAAACTTTATTTGACTTCACGCTAAATTCTACTCGCTCCCGATAAAGTTACAATAAAAGTTGTTGGTTTCTTTTTTGCCTAAAATTAACAAATTAACTATGAAAGAACACATTTCGTTCCTGAATATTAAAATCATGTTAAATAATGATAGAACTACATATAATAAAATAAACAAATTTGCTGTGTTAAGTAAACCCCCCCCCCCCACCACCACCAAATATGGGAAACCCTAAGCTTGTATCTTTTATGTGGATATGAATATTATTATAAATATTAGCTGGTATAAAATGAAGATAATCCCATTCATGGTTAACAATATCAATTGTTCCTTGTTATTAAGAGCCTTATAATCTGAGGCCCGTGAGAGATATAAGGGCTACCATGGCCCTCTTTGTCTATGTATATACACAGGAGCTTGAAATTCTATCAATAATCGCTCAAAAGTCCGATCTAAAAAAAATCCATACCTATATAGTGTTTTTTTTTATATATAGGTATGGATTTTTTTTAGATCGGACTTTTGAGCGATTATTGATAGAATTTCAAGCTCCTGTGGTATATACGATAGTTACCTAAAATCGTCAAAATACAAGACAATTAGAAAGGGACATTTCAAACACTATGTGTTAATGAAATAAATGAGCAAATTACAATGTTTTTTTTCGGTGATTTTTTATTTCCAAATGTCCTCAAAGCTGTACACACAAGTATGCTTAAAATAAGACTTTCCCCTATAAAGATTGAAGTATTTATTTTACACTTCCAAGACTTTATCCTGTGTACTTACAGTTGGTCATTAGTACAGCAATTATACGTACATTTCATGTTCGCAGTAAGAGTACACAGCAAGGGTATTTCTTCTGCAAGGAACAACAAATGTATTAGACAGAGGGGACCATACGAGGTAAAGAACTAGTTATGTATTGGCACTATAAAGTGAGCTTTGCTTAAACAAGAGGACCACAAAAGTCCTATATAACTTGCCCGAGATCCTTTGCAAGAAAAGTTCATAGGTTGTTGAATTAAAAAGGCTATTGGGACCATTAAGCCAGAGTCTTTTGTGTAGAGATCAATTAGGAAATACTGATCTGTATAGGCCTTGTAGTTTCCCTCACTCAAATATGAATTTTCTATAAGTGTATGAAGTAAAGCGATTCTAAAGGTCAAGCTTATTTTAGCACTATTAATATAAAAGTATCCTTGTAAAGGAGAACAAAAAGTATCCTTTGTCGAGGAAACCAAGGTCATGTCATATCTCAAATATCTAAGCCCCAGGACAGGAGGTTTTACAAGATATCTCCCCCACCCCTGTAGCGGGCAGATTTTGACTCCATTGGTATGATTTGCATAAATCGTAGATTCTAAAAGAATATTCGAATGTTTACTACTCTACTCTATAATATTAATATTTAATCTCTTGTTATTTGACACTTATTTCAGTTGCCTGTTGGAATATTTTAATGTGTTTCCTGTTTAAATCTATGCCACCTTTAATAGTGGTCGGCATACCTTTGGCCATGATTTATATAACGCAAGAGAACCACAAGGTAATGTTACAAACTAATTGGCTAAACTTTTCAGCTCTGGGCATTGTTGTTTATGAGAGGATATTTAAAGTTTATTTCCTATAGAAAGTATACAACAAGACAATTTTACAAAGTGACATAGGTATGGCAGGGCCATCTTTGACCACATAGGCAATTTATTAAAGGTTAAATGCATTTTTGAATGTGGTGACACTATGAATGTTCTCAATGATGTTTTAAGTATTGTTTAATGAAACAAAAAAGATCTTGTAAAGGGTTAGGGTAAACAGGCTTACATGTTATTTAAATAGCACCAAACCATACTATTATGTGAATGGTTTTAAATGTAATTTTGGGCAACATAGAGAGGAAATAACATTCAAGAAGTTTTAACAAGGTAGATTTTATTTCTGTTAAATCATATCTTATATCTCCTTTGATTAGTCAATAAAAAAAACCTCTTATAAAAAGTAGTCTTCCACTGTATGCATAAACACTTCAAATTGACATTTTTTAAATAAAAGTTATACTTTTTATTCTTAATCATTATCGATTCTCTTATCACTTTTAAATAGAACTGTACACAAATCTGTAACTGACTTAACTATTTTTCATCATTTTCTTAACTTTACTCCAGCTGTATCTAATGCTCTTGGATACGCCAGCTGTCAAGATACCCTTGACACTCTGACTCCAGCTAGATTTGTTTACTATACTTGCTATACTCCCAGAAACAAATTCATTACATTTACTATCGGATGCTATAACCTCTACAATTTCATGTCTGGGGATATTTGGGTTTGTTTTTTTGCATATATCCGATAGCTTATCAACCACAACATTTGGTACATGATTCAAATGATAACACCTTGTTTCCTTGCTAAGAGTGTGCATAAATAATTCTGTTTCGTCACTGTACGTTAAATATTCTGTTTCATTTAAAATTGGGTTATAAAGTTTATTGAAATAAGGCAAATTTGGCGCAACGATCTTAGACACTTTTCCTTTGTCCTCACCAAATTTCATTCTAAAGTCACCACTATAGGAAAGGCTGGTTATTGTCATATACAGTTCATTTGCAGTAAAATTTTCAGGCAGAAATAGTAGCGAGGAATGAACAGCACTTGATAGATTTGTGTGTAATGCTTGAACAAGCTCAGTTGAATTTGGTTTCTTTACAATCTTCACAGGTTTATGTAAACGTCCACTTACATACAATGTGTCCCAATTTAACAGGTCAGAAATCAATACATCTGTACCAATAACTCCATACTTTATAAGTCTCTGTTCAAACGGAACTAGGGTATTGAAATAAATTCCAGCACCATAAGAATTCTGAATCTTGGACACCGTTTTGGCTCCTAAATGTTTCAAAAATGAGTAATGTTTAAAATTATGTTCAATGTTTTCTCTATGCCATTCTGTTGGATTGTCAACGACCACTATAAAATCAAGCATGTTTTTTGACATATCTGCGCCTGTCTGTTGAAATACACCAGATCCATATGCGAAAGCCATTTGTATTCCTGAAGGAAAACCAGCCAAAACTCTTTGGAACACATCTTTCTTTGCAACTGATGCCTCAGAGCAAAATCTTCTGCATAGTACCATCCTTGTGTTTGCTTGCAAAAAAACCATCTTTGTGTTTTGTAACTTTTAGAAACTTCCAAAACTCAATTAATTTTGTTTTTGAAGCAGATATATGCTTTACTTAAGCTAAATGAAGTTTATATCTCTGATTAAACAAGGATTTCTATTCTGATTTAGTAAAAACACCAACACCTTTTACATCTTTACGTTTTAACATCTCAAGCTGTCTCAAACCTCTTCTGTAACATTGTTCAATCTGGAGTGTATTTGTACGAGGAATTACAGCGTTTTTCTTGAACTCACTTCTCACATAATCTCTGAGTCCAGGTTGCGTTTTTGAGAGTCTCATAAATTCACGGTATAGACTTAAAACTTGGACCTGTACCTTGCTGTGCCTAGCCATTCTCACAAAATATCACATTGATCTACCATATTTCCATGGAATTTGCATTCATTAAATTACATGCTCTCAGGATCTGAAAAAAGAACAATAAAAAAAACCATAATTTAAATTATTTTTTTTTAATATATAAGTTCAGTTCAACTTAAAAAAAAATCAAACTTTTCAAATGGTCTTAAACTGTGCATAACAATTTTTTTCTTTTATATACTGTGACAGCTGTCTTAATAAAATTTATTGTCAATCCCTACAGTGCATAAATTTATATTTTCTTTATTATCATTGATTATAGTTTATAATCATGATAATGTATATTATAATTTATACCACAGAATTCTTTCATCACGGTTTTTTCTAGTATCACATGGTGGTACAGGACAATATCGGGACCTGTGCACCGGAACACACAGAATCCGGGATTTAATCAAACATATAGGGATACAAATAACTGCTTTTGTTTTTATATTTGTAGTAATTCATGGCACTAAAATTATAATTGATTAATTATTCTATATATAATATGATGACCAATTTATCGATTTAACCTTTAGCTTGAAATGTCATAGGGGCCTACTAAATGATGAAAATTGATAAAGGATCCTGGTCATACCGGATACCAGAATTTTTCTGGACCACTGTTGTGACATGTGACCTTGTTAAATAAATTATCTTCTCCTATTTATATTGGCTACTGTGTTAGTAACGTAGTAGATTATGGAAAAGAAGAACCTGATATATTAATGCTTTTGTCAACATTCTTTCTTGATTCAAGGTGATGGATTTATACAATAAACCTAACTAGATCAGTATTTACTATTTACTTGAAATTTTATTTCATTTTTTTTCATTTTTCCATCAGGAGGTCAGTGGCTTTAACTATGTGATTAAAATGGGGACGAATCGTCTGGGGTTGAAATGTTAAGGGTGCGAAATTATCTGTATTGTGTAACCTTCTGCTTTTGAGTTACTTTTATGGGGAAAAAACGGATCATTTTAAAACCAAAAAATCTTACTAACCTGTAAATATTGGTGGCATATGGTAGGGGAATGGTGAAGCAAAGAAACGTATTTGACCGCTGTCCCCACTGGCAAGTATTATGACAGAACACCGGCTTCCAATTTCCGGTCTCGACAACAACAACAACTGCACACGAATATTAGTTAAATTAATCTTTTCAACGATAAATAAACATGTTCAATAGAAAACTGATTGCTTTAAATCATCAGCAACCAAAAAAGTTCAACCCGGAAGGTAATTGCATTAGTGTTATGCCATTTTATACATATATTCGCTTTATCACTTTTGTTGCAGTTTTCGGATGCTCAATAATTCGACCAGGTGACTCTGTAGATTCTATGTATACAATGTATGGCCTATTGTCCTATGCAACAAAATACAATTTGGGAGGAACTAAGTCTAAGGCCTGACTTAAGCGCAGATTGATTTGCTAATTCACTGATAGCAAATTAAACATTTACATATTATAATTATGTATATATGCTGATAAGTATTGAACAAAAATATTATAATAACTTCAATAATAAGCATTTTTAAACCTTATATTGAAAAGGTTTTTGACAAGTTGTTTGTATGATTATAAGATTTTTTTTCTGCAAAAAGCAATACAAGTATTCTAAAAGTTAAACAGGCTGTTGAAAATGCCTGATCAGGCTTATGACATAAAAAATCATATTTTTAGAAAAATAATATAAAGATATGCATTTCTTTTAAACTATGTTTGTTTATTGAGCATATTATATGACATAAACAGAAAGAAAAATAATTGTTTTTTTTTCACTTTTGCGAGAATTATTCCCCCTTTTTCATGTTTACATGACCCATAATTTTTTAACACAATGAAGTCCTTAAAAAGTAAGTTCCAACGTAAGATTCTTAACAGAAATGTGTCCAACATCTTCATTTGCTCAAAATAATTGCACCAGTACCTTTATTCTATATATTTGGATTTAATATTCTGTTTCTGGCATAACTACTTTGACGAAGTTTCCTTTGAAAACCAGAGATCGGGAAAGTCCCGCGACCTGCAACATAGTCGCATTAAAATGATTTTTGTCGCATTGATAAGCCTGCAGATACGACATTGGGTTGCATGAAAAAACAATGAGGAGACAAGTAATTTCTAAAATGCAAATTTGACCTAAGAAATTCAGCGAAAGCAGTAAAGTCTGACTGTTTGTCAATCAATTAGCGGCACCAAATAAATTTCAAAGTGACAAATTTCTTTGCTCTGCCTACAGGTACAGTAGGCAGAACTAATTATCTGCATTAAACCAGTTTAAACCAGTTATCTGCCAACACCACGTGGTACAGTAGCTATGAGTTAGCACCGTCAATTTTTCATGCTTTTCTGTTTGAAATATCATTAATATTCTGTCGATTAGGAAAGCAAGGCAGTCAGTTTTTAAATGTCCAAAATAATTTTCAAAAGTTTAGATTTTCCATGCATTAGTAGTTATTAAAGCATTAGCTTCCATTCTTCCATTGTTTGCCGTTTCCATCCGATATCAGTCCAAAAACATTTTAGATTAAAAAGTTCATTAATTTTTTTTAGTATCTTCCTTCCTTAACAAAAATAATCCAAACCTTTTCTTTTTGTGTTTAAAATCACGTTTGGTGACTTCAAACTTTATCCACAGAAAAAAAGTGTAACTATTTATAGTTGCATTAAAAAAAAAATCTGCGGTAAATCTAGGTCATCATAACCTGCCTTTGAAAACTTAACAATAACAAAGTGAAACATGAGCTGAAGTGATGTTTATTACATCACTACAATAATTGACAGGTCACTAGTCAATCAGATATCTGAACTGCATGACTTCTGTATGCTGTGAGTCCCTTTGATGTAGAGTTGTCAAAAAAAAAAGACAACAATGAATGCTACTTAGGAGCCATTCAGTGCAAATAAAACAATGGATATTACACATTACGTCATATATTACTTGATGTGTCATGGAAAGGTACTTATAAAATGTCGGATTCATTTTAATTATGATTCTTTTTATCTTATTTATCTTCAGCAAATAAACAAACTGCTTGACACCAAAAAATAACAACTGTAACGTGTACCGAGCTTAAATACGTATTTATAATCAATATATTATATTAATAATTTTCCTTTAGGTTTCCTTACCTAAATGATTGAAGACCAATGATTTCAAAATAATTGGAATATAAATTAATCAACTTGAATTAAACCCCATATTAGATAAGAAAATACACAATATTTGGTATTTTGGTTACAATCCTGTTTTCTTTCAAAGGGCCCTCTATGCCTAGTCTAAAATTCCCCTTTTTTAACTTTATAAACCCCGTCTTGATTCTACCTTTTATATAAACCCCGTATTTTCTATGTCTTCTGTTTTATTTATCTTCAAATAATTATCCATCAAAAATATCCTGCAGCCCGGTTTACTTTCTACTACATAAAAACCTGTAATCCTCTCCGGTAGCGTTGCCCCCTAGAGAAACACGGATTACAGACAATATATAGCAGGTATAACTTCAAAGCTTCAAGATTAGATGTTGACAATCTGACTTCCACCAACACAAACCCACACTCACCTTGAATACCTCTGCTTATATATGCTTTGCACAACAACGCCCTCTTACGGCTATTTTATGATTGGCTAATTAACTTACAAAACAATTATACAGAAACGATCACCTGCTAATAAAATGTTAATATAGATTATATAGTCTGCATTACAAATAATGTCAATTAAAACATTGTAGTAGAAACTATTTATACTTTACATTACAATGACATCAAAGAAATGCTCACATCATTATTTACACAAGATTATTAGCAAACTAACCTTAAAAAAAAAATATAGTTCCTAGTGCAACGTATTGTTTACGTATGTTCACTTTACGTGCAAATGGCGTTCCTGTATTTAAGGGCCTTAACTCGTCATGATTGTTACACAACAACAAATATTATGTATTAAACCATGATGTTCATTCAAATAGGACCAAATTATCAAGTCTGCAATTGTTGGTGAAATTAACCTACCTACCTCCTTGTCAAGCCTCAGATATATAAAGTGTCAATAAAATCAGAAATAAACAAACTAGTTAATTAGTTAGGAGAAGAACCTAGCTGAACTGTGTCAATTTTTTTGGTCTCTAGGTTAAAAATTATGAAATCTGTACAGAAAAATATTCCAAAAGTGTCTGGTTGATGGTCTCCGACCAGTATCCGTACTTTATAATCATTAAGAAAAACATGTCTCATTAGTTTTTGAACAATGTCTCATAACTTTTAAAAAATGTCTCATAAGTTTTCCAACAGGTGGAGACATAGTCTCATCTGCAAAAAATTCTTTTCCCGATCTCTGGAAAACTGAATGAAACGTATGCTGACAGGTGTTGGTGCAATGAATTGGATCATAAAGAAGTTATTTAACCTATTTTGTTTTATACTTTGCCTATGTACATGTAACATATTTTTTAAGAACTTGGAAAATTTTGTATCATATAAACATGAAAAATGGGAAATAATTTTTTACAAAAGTGACAGTTACAAAATATTTTTCTTTCTGTTTATGTTATAACATTATGCTCAATAGACAAACAAAGTTTAAAACAAATCTCTTCATTATTTTTCTAGAAATATGATTTTTAATGTCATAAGTCTGATTGGGCATTTTCACCGGCCTGTAAAGAGGTACCCCTAAAATCTCAGAAGCTAGTGCTTTTTTTTATAATAATGCTACAATAACACAAAATTAATTTGTTATATAAAATGTTTTTGTTCTTGTGTACATGTAGGCTACTTTTATATTAATTTCTTGCTTTGAAATGATTATAACTAAAATTGGGGTTGTCTGTGGCTGAGTGGTTAGGTCGTTGACTTCAAACCACTTAGCCCCTCACCGCTGTGGGTTGGAATCCCAACAGGGACTTGGATTCTTTCATGTGAGGGAGCTATCCAGCTAGCTTACTGAACGTCGGTGGTTCTACTCAGGTGCCTGTTCGTGCCTGAAATAATGCACGGAAGGGCACCTGAGGTCTCCCTCCACCAGTAAAGCTGGAACGTCGCCACATGACCTATTCTGTGTCAATGCGATGTAAAACCCCAAACAAACAAACAATTAAAATTGAAAAAAAAACTGACAATTGAAACAATGCAATGGGATCTGTTACAGTAACTCTCCTATGTATTTGTAGTATCTTATTTAAACAGTTACATGCTGTTTAAAGAAGTTTTTCCAAATACATTTTATTGTACATATAGGTATAGTAAAGTTCATATGGTAATGTACAATATATGTATTATTTCTTATGTATTATTCTAGGTATTCTGTAATCAATTTAATCACAATTTAAACAATAATTTTACAATCCACACAGAGGCAGCAAATATTGATAGATATATACACTTCAGATCATGTACTTGTCCATCTTTCAGTCTGGACATTCAATCTGGACCAAACCATTCTTCATTTTTAGGGAAAATTTCTAAATAAGTAATGACTGAAGTGACCAGCGCAGACCTTAATCAGATGACAAAGTTAATGCTGACTGATCTTGCTCTGCTCTGATCAGATGGGTAGAAGTAGTTGACACCAGTAGCCTAAGAGTTAACTGTTTGAAACTTTTATTTTCACAAATGTTTCAGTTGAGAATGAATTTCGTAGTATGATTGTATGGCTAGAAGATCAGAAAGTCCGACATTACAAGATTGAAGATAGAGCGGGACTTCGAAACATTGAGTCATCGGACTGGCCAAAAGCATTGGAAAATGTAAGGGCTTCCGTATGGTCTTTTTTTTTCCAGTCATTATTTCTTTATAGTGAAATTATAACATTTATGTCATTTTGTGCATTTGATTTTGTCTTGTAAAAAGTGTGATGATAATCTGCAAAATAAATTGAAATGATATTGTCTGAATTTAGACTTCTAAAGGTATCAACATCAAAACAAGCTTTTCTGATTTAGATCTCTGTCTGTAGTCAACTGTTTTGCATAGTTTTTACAAAGCAATTTAACATAGAATTTATCATGATTTATTACTTGACCTGTGGAATTCATTAGAGCATAGTATGGCCATGATGGGTTTTTTTATCAAAAATATCAAATTATTAAAATGCACCCTTTCGCCTTGTTCTAATCAATTTTTGTGTAACATATATGTTACATGAAAAGTTGAGAATTTGAATCTTTACAATCACTAGTTATAGTGTAGCATGTAGCGATGTGTACTTGGTAGGTGTACATGTATTTAGAATATACAATGTAGGCGTTTTTTCTTGTGTCATAGAAACTATGTTTAAGTTTATTTTCAGTATGTACAAGAGCTTGGTTGTCCGTACCCTATAAGTGAAAGGTTAGCTTTAATAGATTGGATGCTAGGTTATGCTGTAAGACTGGACTACGGAGACGAAGGTATGTAAATTAACCATTTGAAGGCCGAGGTTTTTGATAAACATTTGTAAATGCAATGAAAATATTTTCCCCAGAAAATATTTTTTGTGATAAACTTTTGTCTGTTATTGTTCTTATCGAAAGGGGTTGTGGGTCTGAGCCCGATTTGTGTCATGTATGTCCCTTCATGTGACACCAGTACTGGTTAAGTTCCAGGAAGCGGACTTAAACATGATTAATACAAGTTTAAAGAACTTGTTTTGTGAATATGTTTAAATAAACTATGTTAGAAAATTAATTATATTTTATTGTTTTTTCACCAACTTGGATTAGTTTACTTTACTGCTGTTGTATCTGTCAGAGTATCAGATGATAGCTTTGATATTTTATCTTAGAATGGCAATAATGCAGTGAAAAGATTAATTTTAATCATCAATAAACACTATGATCTGCCTCTATTGATCAATTGCACTTGTCACCAGTAAAGAGCAAGGCAAATAGCTTTTTATTTTTAATGTATTGACAACAAAATCATGGATACTAATGGGCAGCTTGTACTTTATTTAGGGGCAATTTGTTTTAACTGTCTTTAATGGACAGATTGACTTTCATTAAAGATTACATACATATGATTTCAGCGGAGAAATATAGATCCACCAAACCACTGACACTAGGTTCATCTGATGCTGGTAAAGTTCCACAGGGTGGGGCATCAACTAATCCTCTAGATGCATTAGATTGTAAGTTTTTCAAATTGGTTATCAATGATGTCTGACACCAGGGCTTCATTGATGGAATTTTTTTGTATCAATACATCAAAGGACAATTATCAATGATATATAAAATTACGTTGTACATGTAAGTCGAGTGAAAAATGCTTGAATTTTTGTTATAGACTATGCTCATGGTGGTATGTAAGTTTTTTTTGGATGTCACAAATACAATAAACATAAAGGAAAATTGTTTTTTGCTTTTTTTTTCTCACTGACTAAAAATTTTACTTATAGTTAAAGCTTGCCATAAAAAATGATAAGAATTGACTTCTTTATTTACACAAAATGGAAAAATATTTTCAAAAGATAAGAAAAAAATATTTGAGCGTTTCGATATTCAAAATTGTGTATCAATATTGTATCGAATGGTAAATATCAATGATACAGCGATATTGGGATATTCAATGACAGCCCTATCGAACACCTATAATGATCATTTTGAGTTCTGTGACCGAGAAGTTAAAATATCTGCCTCTCAACCCAGGAATTGTGCTTCAATCCCCGTTGGGTGCACTGCCATGTTTCCTCATGTCTATGGTACCAGTATTGGTTAGTCCTAGGACTCAAGAGTGTTTCAAGAGATATTTCAAATAACGAGCTTAAATAAATAATTTTTAAACCACTGTTGCAGTGATTTTTTTACAAACTCATCAGTGTGGGTCCTAGGACTCGCTGGGCTATAAATCTATGAGTCATCCAAGTTACAAGGCTCAATATTGCTTTAGTGATATGAAAGGTATATTAACAATGGAATGAAGAATGAAGAAAAAATGAATTTGATTTCTACATTAATTACAATACTTTTGATATTGAAATTATTCAAAACCTTCAAATAAATTTAATAAGTTTATTTCCATTAATTACTTCGAAGAAGAGGGGGTATATTGCTTTGCACTTGTAGGTCCGTAGACCAAATGGTTTCCGATCAATAACTAAAGAATGCTTAGGCCTAGGAACTTCAAACTTGATATGGTGATTGGTCATGACCAGCAGATGACCCCTATTGATTTTGGGGTCAAGGGGTCAAAGGTCAAGGTCACATTGACCTTGTAGGTAAAAATGGTTTCCGATCAATAACTACAGAACGCTTAGGCCTAGGAACTTCAAACTTGTTATGGTGATTGGTCATGACCAGCAGATGACCCCTATTGATTTTGGGGTCAAAGGTCAAGGTCACATTGACCTTTTAGGTAAAAACCGTTTCCGATCAATAACTAAAGAACTCTTAGGCCTAGGTACTTCAAACTTGGTATGATGATTGGTCATGACCATCAGATGACCCCTATTGATTTTGGGGTCAAGGGGTCAAAGGTCAAGGTCACATTGACCTTGTAGGTGAAAACGGTTTCCGATCAATAAATAAAGAACGCTTCGGCCTAGGTACTTCAAACTTGGTATTATGATTAGTCATGACCAGCAGATGACCCCTATTGATTTTGGGGTCAAGGGTCAAAGGTCAAGGTCACATTGACCTTGTAGGTAAAAACGGTTTCTGATCAATAACTAAAGAACGCTTAGGCCTAGGAACTTCAAACTTGGTATGATGATTGGTCATGACCAGCAGATGACCCCTATTGATTTTGGGGTCAAGGGGTCAAAGGTCAAGGTCACATTGACCTTGTAGGTAAAAATGGTTTCTGGTCAATAACTAAAGAACGCTTAGGCCTAGGAACTTCAAACTTGGTATGATGATTGGTCATGACCAGTAGATGACCCCTATTGATTTTGGGGTCAAGGGGTCAATGTCATAGTGACCTTGTACTTAATGACCATTTCTGACCCAATAACTCAACAACTCAAGTTGCCTTGGTTGATATTTTTATGTGCTTTTGGTATACACATTTGAAGGTCTTATGTAATAAAACAACTTGGCTGTCATTAATGAGGCCTATGTGATTCATAAAATTTATGTATATATTATTTGGTAAGTTTTTTAATAACTTTAATTGCTGCACACAACCTATGGTGTCACAATAATTATTACCTTGTGACTAGTCATGACCAGTAGATACTAGATAACCCTAATTAATTGCTTGTTCAATGGGTCAGAAGTCATGCATAATAACCTGATCACATGACAAATCGGCTGCCGATAGGGGGCATACATGTTTTACAAACATATCTTGTTTAGTTTGAGATTAATCAAAACTTCATTTTCCTTAATATTTGTATGAATATCATTATTATTTCATATCTGTAGAAGATTTGCAGACCTAGAATATGATTGACAATTTGACATAACTTGAACACAATTTGGTATTTATTACGAAATTCCTGTTAGACAGGACCCCCTACTCAGAAAAAGAATGCATCCAAAAGATGCACATTATTTGAAACTTTGCATCCACAGCAAATTCAATGAGTTCTGGACTCAGGATGCAGAGGTAAAAAAATCACTGCTGTTGAGATATTTGAAGTTCTTTTGGTGATTTAAAAAAAATGTCTTTCTTGGTAGGATGTTATTCTGCACAAAACTCACAAAAGAGCAAGTCCATTAAAAGAATTTAGCACTTTAAAAGTTAAACAAAATATTTTGGAAAAATAAAATTGTCTATTTGGCTATACCTTTCAGTATCATTAATTATATGAAATGTACATAAATGTTTGTTATTTTTACATGAAATAATTTTATTCAACAGTTGAGGATCCAGATTTTAAAGCAGGAGTTACTTCCCTTGCAATGATGTTACAGATACCTCCATATCATGATCATCTTGAACAGTTAAAGGTATTTACCTCCCCTGTTGTTTTTTTTTACCATTTCATATTTCTCTGCCTTTGCTAAGAATGTTATCTGTAACAGATATGTGACTATATTATTGTTCAATATCAAATGCCAAATGCATTTATTAACTATCAGTTGCGTGTTTTTCAGTTTTAATTGCAAATGTGATCTAAGTAAGAGTTTTAAATTTTGTATGGTTTTAGACTTTTGGACCTATTTGAACTTCTTCAGTGCAGTTTTATCAAATATAAGTATGTATTTTTAATTGTGATTTTTGAGTGTTTTTCCCATTTTTTAGGAGAGCCTCATTAATAAATTTAAAACTAAGATTAAATGTCTTTTATAAAGTTATAGTTTACATATTTTTATGTTTTAACATTTACTCTGGTTATTTGTAGGCAATATGCATTGTAGTAAAAGAAAAATTATCCAAGGAGTCATTAGATAGGGCAGAAAAAGAATCACAGGTATGATAAATGTTTAAATCACTTAAATTTCTTTTATAAGTGACTGTTGTTTTTTATGCCCCCACCATAAAATGGCCGGAGCATAATTATAGTGTTACCCTGTTCCGTCATTCTGTGATTCTATCATTCCATCAATTTTTGGTTTTCATTATCTTAGTAACGGTTGCGCACATTCAACTCAAGTTTGACATATGGATATATCATAAGAAAATACAAGTCAAGTTCGAATTTTGTCATGGCTCTATGATTTTTGGCAGAGTTATGCCCCTTTCACTTTGAAAATAATATGAAATTTTCAGTTTCCGTTCATTATCTCCCCAACAGTATTACACATTCAACTCAAATTTGACATATGGATACTTCAAAGGAATGTGCAGGTCTAGTTCGAATTTGGTCATGGTTCGATGATTTTTGGCAACGGTATTACACATTTGACTTTAATTTGACTTATAGATATAGCTTAGGAATAAGCTGTTCAAGTTTTAATTTGGTCGTGGTTCAATGATTTTGGATTTGTGGATTCTGCTTTCGCTACTTTCAAAAATAAAACAAATAAAAAGAATCATTTAAAACAACCAAATAATAAACCCTTGGTACGGGCCTTCTTGTAGCACGTCGATTATATCATATTGCACGAAAAAAGTATAACCGTAGCAAATGTGACCTAAATAAACATTTACTTAACAAAGCAAGTAAACATTATAAGTGCACCAATAAATTCATTCGTCCGTAAACATAAATTTATGAATGAACGTAAACTAAGGGATAAACACTTAAAGCAACGAAAGATTATTGGAGAATATTGAAGAATTTTAATATAGATACACACGATAAAATGCCCGATATCCAAGATCTGTATGACCATTTTTCGAAAAATTAATTACGATGAAAGTCATAATGAAGATTCATTCATAAATCAAGACCAAAGTGCACAATATGATACCGAATGTTTAAACTGCCCAATCACTACCGTAGAAATAAATAAGGTTATAAATAAATGTAAGAACTCAAAGGCATCATCCCCCCAAGATAATATTATCAATGAATATATAAAATGTACAAAACACTTAATGCTTCCAATTTATTGTTTATTTTTTAACATGATTCTTTAACTCAGGAATTATACCCGATACCTGGCTTATTGGACCATTAAACCTATCTATAAAAAGAAAGGCTCACCTTTAAACCAGAAAATTTTTAGGCCAATAACTATTTTAAGCTGTCTAGGTAAAATCTTCACTGCTATACTTAATGAGAGAATGTCTACCTTTTTAGAGAGAAATAATATATTAAAAGAGAACCAAGCTGGTTTCAGGGCAAATTACTCAACAACAGATCATATTTTTACACTTAAATTTTTAATAAATGTTTTAAAATCTCAGAAAAAGAAATTGTTTTTGCGCATTCATAGACTTTTCTTTAGCCTTTGATAAAATATGGAGGACTGGCCTCTGGGCAAATTAATTAAGAATGGGATCGATGGAAAATTTTATAACATTATTTTAAACATGTATTCAGGTATTAAATCATGTGTTTCTGTAAACGATATTACATCCCCATTTTTTAAAAGTAACTGTGGGGTACGCCAAGGGGAAAATTTGTCTCCAGCGTTATTCTCTATTTATCTAAACGACCTAGAATCGCATCTTGGTTTAAACCAATGATGGCATTATAATTGAACAACAAAATATTCAAGCTGACCTTTACCTTAAAACTATTTGTGTTACTATATGCGGATGATACTATAATTGTAAGTGATAGTCCTGAATCATTACAAAAATTATTGAACGACTTTTACGAATATTGCTGTAAATGGAAACTTACAATAAATAAAAGTAAAACCAAAATAATAATATTTGGATCGAATAAACCCGGTAATTTCCGCTTCCTTCTTAACAACGAACCAATTGAAATAATAAAGGAATATAAATACTTAGGAGTACTTTTCTCATCTTCTGGGAAGTTTTCTTTAATGCTAGAAAATATTAAGTAAATCAAGCAAATAAAGCAATGCATATACTTTATTCAAAAATATTTAATCTTGATATCCCAATTGATTTACAGTTGAAATTATTTGACCAAACTATTGTTCCTATACTTTACTTTTAACTGCGAAGTTTGGGGATTCGAAAAATCTAGATTTAATTGAAACGGTACAAAATAACTTCCTAAGAACTATAACTAAAAGCAAAAAAAGTACACCATTATATATGGTATACGGAGAGCTTGGGCGCTATCCAATGGACATAGTCATTAAAAATCGAGGATGGTTAATTATTGGTGTAAATTAGTTATGGGTAACAGAAATAAAATTTCTAAAGTATGTTATGATATAATGCTCAATTCTGACACAAGTTTTAAATGGTCACAGTGTATTTAAACAAATTTTTAGAATAATACAAGGTAACACATACATTATGGGAAAACCAAATGCAATATCAATCTTAAAAATTTTCCCAGTATGACAATAAAACGTACATTAATTGACCAATTCTTGCAAACCTGGAAATATTCACTTACAGGGTTTACCTTCTAAAGGTCTGACATATACCAATCATTCAAATCCGATAATTAATTTTCGAACAGTACCTCATTGCATTACCTAATTATCTTTTAGATTGACCCTTTTTTCACTTAAGAACAGGTAACCACGGCTTCCCTATAGAAACAGGCAGGCGGTGGAGGCAGTCTTTTGTCCCACATTGCTGAACGAAAGTGCCAACACTGTCAACTAAAACGATTTGGGAGACGAGTTTTCATTATATTCTTCAAATGTCCTTTTTTCCTAGCTTCTAGGGGAAACGTTATTATAAACCGTTACTATTTCCCAATAGGCCCAATATGCTTAAATTTTCACAACTTATGTCTTTCTAAATGTCTTTTTACCAAAAGGAACTTAAAAAATATCGCCCTTTTTTCAAAAGAAATAATGACTTCATTTAAAAGATAGTCCAATAAACATTAAATACAAGTGGTCCAATAAGTTAACCCCCTTTCCCTTTCCGTTTCGAGAAAAGGTCGGCTGTAAATTGGACAAAATTCTCCGCATAATAGTTCCAAGTAAAATATTTTACGTCTACTTCTACTAAACACACCACGTGCGCAACAATAATTATATATTTGATGATAAATAGTATAACATCCTAAGCTCGAAATTTCAAATTGCATTAAATAAACATACCCAGTTTGTTTACAATCCTTTTTTTTGCAAATATCCTTTTTGTTTTGTTTTTCTTCCCGATGCACTTAACTTTGTTAAAAAAATACTGTTTCAATAACAAAATGAAATGCCACGAAAATTCATGGAAACCCGTGCCTAACTATAGTAAATAAAAATTCCCACGGTATCTGTTTACATTAACTATAGGTTTGACTGCATTTTTGATGACCATCATTTGCTGTATTTGTTGTATTTTTATTTGTCACTATTGTTTTTTTTTGTTGTTGTTTTTAGCTCGACTATTCGAAGAATATGAGAGCTATTGTAGTCGCCCCGGCGTCGGCGTCGGCGTCAGCGTCCGCGTCGGCGTCTGCGTTGGTTAAAGTTTTTTGTAAAGTCAAATATCTCAATTATTACTTGAGATATTCAATTGAAACTTACAATACTTATTTATAGTAACAAGGTACATCAGATTGACAAGTTGGATAACTCTGCCTACAATATTGACAGAATTATGCCCCTTTTTAACTTAGAAATTTTGGTTAAAGTTTTTTGTAAAGTCAAATATCTCAATTATTGCTTGAGATATTCAATTGAAACTTACAATACTTATTTATAGTAACAAGGTACATGAGATTGACAAGTTGGATAACTCTGCCTACAATATTGACAGAATAATGCCCCTTTTTAACTTAGAAATTTTGGTTAAAGTTTTTTGTAAAGTCAAATATCTCAATTATTGCTTGAGATATTCAATTGAAACTTACAATACTTATTTATAGTAACAATGTACATCAGATTGACAAGTTGGATAACTCTGCCTACCATATTGACAGAATTATGCCCCTTTGGAACTTAGAAATTTTGGTTAAAGTTTTTTGTAAAGTCAAATATCTCAATTATTGCTTGAGATAATCAATTGAAATTTAAAATACTTATTTATACATGTAGTAACAATGTACATCAGTTTGCAAAATTGCATAACTCTATCTGCAATATTTGCAGAATTATTTACCCCTTTGAAACTTAGAAATTTTGGTTAAAGGTTAACGGTCTTCAAAGATATTTACTTGAAACTTTACACATGCACTTAGGGTCATAATTGGAGGGTCATAATTGTATGTCACTGACCAAGTTCCATAACTCTATCTTGCATTAAGGCTGATTCATATCCCCTTTTCTACTTAGTCTCTTGGTTAATGTTTACATGCAAGTTTTACATATCTCAATAACTATTAAAGATATTTATTTAAAACTTCACATATGCATTTAGGGTCATAATTGTAGGTCACTGACAAAGATCCATAATTCTATCTTGCATTTAGGCTGATTTTTCTCCCCTTTTTCAACTTTAGAAATTCATGATAAAAGTTTTGCTTGTAAGCTGTTATCTCAATAACTACTGAAGGGTTTGTGTCTTTTTTTGGACAATTTTATGCATTCATAATAATAAAGTAGTGATTTACTTGATAAAACATCTTAATAACAAGCCTTTGTACCTTTTCTGTCAAATTTATGTATTCATAGGTAATTAGTATTATTATACTCAATAAAAAACCCTTGTGACATTACCTTCCGAATAGTCAACCCAATTCTGTATAATTAGACTCTCTCTAAGGCCTATAACATGAATTTATAAAAAAAAATTAGCCCTTTTGTGAACTTAAAAAATTTAACAATATCAAGGCTCTTTTACTATCAAGCACTTAGAATAGTCGAGCATGCTGTCCTACAGACAGCTCTTGTTTTGTTTTGTTGTTTTTTTTTTTTTTTCACATTTGACAAAGAACATGAACATTGTTGATAAATATATTTATTATTCTGTCCCCGCAACATTATGCTCATTTACCTTAAATTGATAACTAGCTAACTAATATATGATCTAACCCACATATTGTTAATATTTTAGATAAATCGTCATGTTGTTACCATGTTTGTATCCTGATTTACCAATAAAGAGTATTGTATTGTATTGTATTGTATTGTATTGACAAAATTATCTCTCTTGAATGTTGGAAAAATTTTGATTTTTCAGTTTCAGCACTCATACTTTTGTGAAATGTATGTAGTCATTAATTTGCCTATAAATATGCAATTTACAAAAGGTTAACATTCAGTGCCTGAAACTTAGTAATAAAATGGTTTGTGTTAACATTGACTAGTTTTAAGGGTTTTGAACTTAAAATGAAAATAGTTTGTGTAAACAAATTTGGAACCAAATATTATAACATCTGAAATTTTGGCTGCATGCGGGGGCAACAATGGCATGCCAACAGATTTCTTGTTTTCTTAATTTGTTTTTTCATTATTTATCTTTTACAATGCACAAAGTTACATTGTATTTTGCTTGTATTTATATTCCAATGGCAACAAAACTTGCTACAATGGTGATAATTGAAAACCTGGCTTTGTGGCAGTGCTATGTTTCATGTGAAACAATAATTTTACTTTTTATTTCAGGGTGAACAGACAACAATAGACAGTATTAATCTAGGATTTGACACTGGAGGTAACATATATATATACATATAATATTATACAGATAAATTGACTACAAACCCTTTTTTTCCATGCTTCAAATAGGCAAAAGTTGTGTTTTGAAATTCCTTATAAAGCTTTACTTTTTGTGATTTAAAAAAAAACAATATCTTATTGTTAGGCTAGCCTATTCATGTAATAAAGCAATTATTGACTAGTGAGCCATTGAATGTGATGTGACATTCACAGGCAGAAAATCATATTGACCTCGGCTATCGCTTCAATCAATATTATATGTCATCTGCCGGTGAATGTCATTTTCGATGGCTCACTACTCAATAATTGTATCTTTATGCAAAAAAAAAATTTATATCTATGTCCATTTTTACATTGCCATGAAAAAAAGAACTGAAAAAAATACATTGAATTACATTAAGTGTAGAAGTAATTTTCCTGACATCATTTGGTTAATTGATGTCATATCTGACATCATATGATATGTAAGCATTCCTTTTTCATGCTCTGCATGTAATAATGCTTTTGATTGCCCTGTCTGTTTGATAGGGAATAGTTTGAAGCGGTTAAGAATGTGTTTTGAACTTGCAGTCTTTTTAGTACAACTTGCAAAACAGAGTAACCCTCTCAATATTTAATTGAAATAAATACATTTTATTGTCCAAATAATGCTTTATACCTCTGTTATATTGATCTCAAATGCTTATTAAGTGTGAAAATTTGTATTCCAGATTACATCATCAATGAAGCAGCGAAAATATTACGGCTTCTTCATATTCGGGATTTACGTGAGCTTCAGTCAAGTATTAATCAGGCCATTGTGGCAGTCCAAACTGTTACCGCCAATCCTAAAACAGACAGTCGACTTGGCAGAGTAGGAAGATAATGATTGTTTCATTAGATGAAAGTGACTCGACTCAAATATTCCTGCATGGGCTATGCATTTGTAATGTGTGTTCAAAACTTACAAGAAAAAACAAAAACAACCCCTGAAAGGACCTCCACTGAGGCCCAAAAGCTGAAAAAATATAAAAACTGAAAATCTAAAGCACTTAAGATGGAATTATGTGAAAAAGATAATAAAGAAATACATTCAATTTGAAGATGAATTTGAAATTTAATATTTAGTGTGATTTTGGGCCCAATTTTAGTTAAAGATGTTTGAAAGCTTTTCATATTTTCAGGTTATTTTACTCAATAAAATTGATTATTTTGGCTAACGAAAGTGAGCAAATAATCTGAAATTTTAGCACAAAAGTTATTGAAAGTTATTGGTCCAGACCTATATCAGATGGTGTAAAAATCTCGAAAAAAATATTTCCAGCGTGGCCTTGACAAAAAAACCTTAGTGGAGTTCCTTGAAATTATTTGCTTTGTTCTCGGTTGGTTACTTTATACAATGTGATACCTCATTTGCATATTCTATAACTTCTGAACTCAAAATAAAAGTACCTGTATCATAACACTTTATTCTGTTAAATTGTCAAGAATGGTAAAAATCAGCAACAAATAATTATGCCCCCTTTTGAAAAAAAGGGGGTATATTGCTTTGCACTTGTCGGTCCGTCGGTCCGTCGGTCCGTAGACCAAATGGTTTCCGAGTGATAACTAAAGAACCCTTAGGCCTAGGAACTTCAAACTTGGTATGGTGATTGGTCATGACAAGTAGATGACCCCTATTGATTTTGGGGTCAAGGGGTCAAAGGTCAAGGTCACATTGACCTTGTAAGCAAAAACGGTTTCCGATCAATAACTAAAGAACCTTAAGGCCTAGGAACTTCAAACTTGGTATGGTGATTTGTCATGATCAGTAGATGACCCCTATTGATTTTGGGGTCAAGGGGTCAAAGGTCAAGGTCACATTGACCTTGTAAGCAAAAACGGTTTCCGATCAATAACTAAAGAACCTTAAGGCCTAGGAACTTCAAACTTGGTATGGTGATTGTCATGATCAGTAGATGACCCCTATTGATTTTGGGGTCAAGGGGTCAAAGGTCAAGGTCACATTGACCTTGTAAGCAAAAACGGTTTCCGATCAATAAGTAAAGAACCCTAAGGCCTAGGAACTTCAAACTTGGTATGGTGATTGGTCATGATCAGTAGATGACCCCTAACGATTTTGGGGTCAAGGGGTCAAAGGTCAAGGTCACATTGACCTCTTGGGTAAAAACGGTTTCCGATCAATAACGAAAGAACCCTTAGGCCTAGGGACTACAAACTTGATATGGTGATTGGTCATGATCAGTAGATGACCCCTATTGATTTTGGGGTCAAGGGGTCAAAGGTCAAGGTCACATTGACCTCTTAGGTAAAAACAGTTTCGGATCAATAACTAAAGAACCCTTAGGCCTAGGAACTTCAAACTTGGTATGGTGATTGGTCATGATCAGTAGATGACCCCTATTGATTTTGGGGTCAAGGGGTCAAAGGTCAAGGTCACATTGAACCTCTTAGGTAAAAGCAGTTTCCGATCAATAACTAAAGAACCCTTAGGCCTAGGAACTTCAAACTTGGTATGGTGATTGGTCATGACCAGCAGATGACCCCTACTGATTTTGGGGCTAAGGGGTCAAAGGGAAAGGTCACATTGACCTTGTAGGTAAAAATGCTTTCCGATCAATAACTTAAGAACCCTTAGGCCTAGGAACTTCAAACTTGGTATGGTGATTGGTCATGACCAGCAGATGACCTATTGTTTTTAGGGTCAAGGGTCAAAGTCATGTAACATTGACCTTGTAGGTAAAAACGGTTTCTGATCAATTTACTAAAAAACGCTTAGGCCTAGGAACTTCAAACTTTGTATGATGATTGGTGGTGACCAGCAGATGACCCCTATTGAGTTTTGGGTCAAGGGGTCAAAGGTCAAGGTCACATCGACCTTGTAAGTAAAAAACGGTTTCTGATCAATAACTTAAGAACGCTTAGGCCTAGGAACTTCAAACTTGGTATAGGTGATTTTTCATGACCAGCAGATTACCCCTTTCGATTTTGGGATCAAGGGGTCAAAGGTCAAGGTCCCATTGACCTTGTAAGTAAAAACGGTTTCTGATCAATAACTAAAGAACACTTGGGCCTAGGAACTTCAAACTTGGCATAGTGATTGGTCATGATCAGCAGATGACCCCTATTGATTTTGGGGTCAAAGGTCAAGGTCACATTGACCTTGTATGTTAAAACGGTTTCGGATCAATAATAAAAGAACCCTTAGGCCTAGGAACTTCAAACTTGGCATGGTGATTAGTCATGACCAGCAAATGACCCTTATTGATTTTGGGGTCAAGGGGTCAAAGGTCAAGGTCACATTGACCTTGTAAGTAAAAACGGTTTCTGATCAATTAAGTAAAAACGCTTAGGCCTAGGAACTTCAAACTTTGTATGATGATTTGTCTTGACCAGCAGATGACCCCTATTGAGTTTTGGGTCAAGGGATCAAAGGTCAAGGTCATGACCAGTAGATACTTGATAACCCTTATTAATTGTTTGATCACTGGGTCAGAAGTCATGCATAATTACCTTATCACATGAATAATTGGCTGCTGATAGGGGGCATACATGTTTTACAAACATATCTTGTTATAATTTAGTATGGTCAGACTTGAACATTTTGGAAGCCATACTACTGGCAGAAGCCTGTCAAGAAATTTATTTGTATATGCGTCTGCTCAAAAGTGTCATCATTTTGATGTTAGAAAAAAGTTACTATGTTATCTAAAATTTATTTTTTCATTTGTATGTACATGGAGTTTCTGGACGTTATCACGTTAACATAGAAAATGTCAGCTCTGTTCTGTCAGCTCTGTTCTGTTAATCTTATTTTTAACCTTTCTGAATTTTTTAAAAGGGCAGTTATGCCCCAGAAATGCTTTAGTTTTTATTTCCCAAAGGCTTTTTTTTATTTTTGGTGTACTTTTATAGTTTCCAAAAAGTTAGTCACTGGCCAAATACCTGAATCATCTTTTTTCTTCTGTTGCATTTTTGGTAATAAGTACAGGTAAAGTGAATTAGTATTTTGTATGGAAGTCAAACTATTGATTTGTTTATATTTTGCTACTTTTATGACAAATAATTTCACACTCAGAGTTAGTTTCTTGAGGTGATGAGTTTCAAAAATGCTCTAAAACCATTACTTAAATGTTTTAAAACTCATGTTTGCCCTTTTAAAGAATGGAAAAAATATGCGTTTCTGAGGCATAATGTACCTTTAAGTAAACATTATTCAATACATGACTTGATAGTTATTATATAGGTTAAGGCTTGGTCAAACAAGTCAAAAGATATTGTATTTATTGTATAGTTAACATATTTACAACCTGGTATTTCAGACTTTTTGACTTATCTGCCTTTCCAGTTTTACATCCAGATTGCTTGAAATTAATTGTTAGCTGTATTTTGTGATGTCAATTTTAAGACAGATTTATTATAAACAACCATTGATTTTTTTCAGTTTTCCATTTTCCCTTCATGACATATCTCCAATAAATGTCACTTTTTAGATAAAACTTACAGTTCTACCTAACAGAAACCTTGAAAACTGAATTTTAATTACATTTTACATAGCAAGAATGTTATTTCCATGTTTACTGAACAAGAATGGTATGATATTGTTTATTAAGCAAGAATGTTATTACAATGTTTACCCAGCAAGAATGTCATTGCAATGTTTACCAAGCAAAAATGTTATTACAATGTTTACTGGACAAGAAGTTTTATTACATTGTTTACTGAGCAAGAATGTTGCTCCAATTTTATTGAGCAAGAATGTTATTGCATTGCTTATTGAGCAAGAATGTTATTACATTGTTTACTGAGCAAGAATGTTATAGAAATGTTTACTGAGCTAGAATGTTATAACAATGTTTACTGAGCAAGAATGTTTTAAGAATGTTTACTGAGGAAGAATGTTATAAGAATGTTTACTGAGCAAGAATGTCATTACATTGTTTACTGAGCAAGAATGTTATGAGCAAGAATGTTGCTCCAATTTTATAGAGGAAGAATGTTATTACATTGCTTATTTAGCAAGAATGCTTATTGAGCAAGAATGTTATTACATTGTTTATTGAGCAAGAATTTTATAACATTGCTTATTGAGCAAAAATGTTATTACAATGTTTACTTAGCAAGAATGTTATTACAATTTATACTCAGCAAGAATGATAATATAATGTTCACTGAGCAAGAATGGTATTACATTGTATACTGAGCAAGAACTTTATGACAATAAATACTGTGCAATGTTTAATAACCATCCATTATACAAGATGTACAAATACCAGGCTTTAATTGTTCATTTGCAATCTCAATTGTGTTTCATATTCTTGCAATAATTTGAATGTTAAGTTATATGAAAGTTTTCAGTTAAAAGTGCTAAAAATGTTTACATGCATAATTAATTTCTCATTTTCATCTGATTTACTGTAAAAAAATGAAATCGTCATTCAGTGAAGGAGTATAAAACACTCGTTTCAAATTGAACCGATCACCCTCGGGGTTGGGGTTTCTCTGTTCTCTATCTAACCCAATTATGAATTAGAAACTGGTGTGGTACTTTGGATTCTTTAATGTGAGAAATCTATCCCCTTAGTTTTGTTTTTTTTGTAAGCTATATGGTTCTAATCCACTGGTCTTCCTCAACCAGTAAAGGGAGAAAGTCGCCATATAACCTTAAAGCAGCATGCCTCCTGATGAGCCAAAATTTTTCAAGAAAATCAATATTGAGAAAAATGTACTAACATTTTAAGAAAGGTAAAAACATTCACGATCCAAGTAATATTTTACATGTTATATGCGGTAAAGGACTGCTTTTGCAGTACTTTATTACCATATTTCTAATGCGCTACTAATGTAGTAAGGGCTGTTTTTGCACATGTTGACCACTTTTGGTAATTTTCATGGATTTTAAGTGCCAATTGCAATATTTAAATTGTTTTATTTGTTCATCTCACAACATTTTACTCTTGAA